TTTGATAAAAGTTAGGAGCCACATATATCGTGAAGATCTACCATAAAGCATCGCTAATCCTTCAATACTTGTGTCAACACATGGTGAATTTGCTGTTACCATGCTCGTTATTGTCCCTATATAACCCTGATGCATAAAGCCTACAATGAAAGGAAAGGAAATGATTCAGAAAAACAGTTGTGTTACTATGCAACATGCTTTTGTTGAACAGGTACGACCAGCTTTGAATATTTTGCTAACTCTTGGTTCTGAGTTCCTTTTGTAACAAACTTTTGAGGAGAGAATGGTCCTAAATGAACAAAGACTGCAAGAGTGGAGTGAGTTTTCTTTTTTTACATCACAGGCTTCATCCCATGAAGAGAGAAAAATCTCAATTTGATCCCAATATAACAGTGTAAAGACATTAGGTAAAACACTTTAATATGCACCTTATAACCCTATCTGCTTAGTTTTCAACACAAATTATAGTCAGAACGTGTTGCTCCTCAGGACAGGTTTTTATCTAGAAGCCTTTGAAATAATGAAAATAATACGAATGACAATATACAGAATACTATTTACAAAATATCAAAAGGAAATGGGAGAGAGAATAGGGTCTGGAGATAACAGGGGAAGGTAGGAATAATAAATGGTTATGGCAGACTATGATGACAAATGTATGGTCCAGTAGTAATTCTGGTGGAGGTGTATAATCTGTTATTTTTTGAAACAACCATTTATACAAATGAGCTCTCAGGGACAGAACCAATGCTAGCCGCAGTGTGGTTAAAAAGAAATTCTTCGCTTGACCTTCTATTTTGATAAACAATTAACAGTTTTAAGCAGAAATTTGAAAACTTTGCCTGTAGCAGTTTCTTTTTTGTGTTTTATATGACTGTAAATTGAATATCTTGAGGTTTTGCACTGTTGGTCAGATATAACAAGCCATCTGAAGACTTCATTTTGGATTATGGGAAATTAGGACGGGCATTTTTCACAATTTTCTGATATTTTATAGGCAAAAACAATTTTAAATGATAAATCAAAAACCAAATTGTTCATAGCTCCACTGGCAAGAGCTCTATTAAAAGATAATCAAAAGACTTGTAATAAAGATGAATTATACCTGGGCAAAATTCCACATGAACTTATAGCGCAGGAAAAATACATTATCTCGTAATGATACTTTTGGCAAAGAGTAAAAAATTCCATCACACATAAACAGACAGGCAAGAACAGCCAGACTGCATTTTGTGACCTATATAAAATGAGTTATTTACATGAGCCTATTCTTTGACAGGTTATTAACATTCTTTGTTGGATTTATTTTTATTTTAATCTATTACTGACCCTATAATTTGAAGGAAAGAAAATGTTCCATCTTCAAACTCATCTGGAAAGCACCAATCAGTGTTCAGAATGTACACAGGAGAACCAGTTTTGCTTCTTTACTCTTTATTTAACTTTTATTTAAATTGGTTAAAGGAGCTGAAAAGATCATGAAATTGTGCAAAATCTAATGCTTTGAAGGCTCACAGTTCATGATGATAGTATAGACATTGTAAATTTTCTAAGTTGAATGTCATTTTTTGATTGTTTGAACTTGATGAAAAGCTGTTTTGTTTTTTAGCATTAGCTATTATGCTTGAAGCCTTGACAGGTAAAAGGTTAATGCAAATGTTAATTGCTAATTGTTTGTTATTTAATCAGCTCAAAGTTTAGAGATAACAGCAATTATGGCTGGAGTTTTAATAGAAATCAGAGATAAGATCTGTTTTTTTTTTTACCATTAGTTTCTAAACATTTAATGCCAACACCAGCACGCCTAACTGGGTTCATGTCTGTTTTGCTTGTAACTTGTGTACTTCAGCAGACAGAAACTGATGACAAGGATTACATTCAAAGTTCAGAATCTGACAGTGATAAGTGATTCTAGTTTGTAAAGCAGAAAAGTGCAGGCAAATATTGGAGCAGAAAAGAAGACAAGAGGAACAGCAGCAAACAGAGAAAGAAAGTAAAAAGGAAAGTATCAGCAGAAGTTAAGAGAAATGTTTTGGGGTTTTTTTGTAAAACTTTAAGAACTTTAATGCCAATTGTGATTTCAAATTCGATTTGACTAAATCGTTCATGGTCTAAAATAAAGCATATTGCGAAAATTGTCTACGCCCCAGCATATCATTTCAAGATTACGTATTTTTGACCTTTACAGTCAGGCTAAGTTGTGAACAATACTGTAAGTCAAATACTCAAACCTGGGAGCTTATGTACCTAGATAAGATGTAAACCATTAAATACTGGACTGTAAATCACTGAGAGACAGAACTTGTTCCTGTACAGTTTTTTGGCACCTACAACAGAGGTTCCTAATCTGGGGTGAGGCCCACCAGAGGTTCACAAGATGGATCTAGGGGATTATCACTGACTTAATGTTTGCTTTTTTGTGAGATTCTGTGTAGTTTTACCTTTTAGGATTCAGCTTATAGACATGCACCCTGAGGAGCCACATGTAGAAATAACTTTATATTAAGAGGTCATGAGTTTAAAGGTTGGCAGCCACTTACCCACAGCATGTCAGCCCACCCACTTGTTTGAAAATGTCAACAAAGTAGCAAAGAAGAAGAAGCTGGATGGTAAATAAATCTGGTTATTGCCTGTGGGGAACCTGCAAGGGTTTTTACAAAGAACAGAGGCTGGACTAAAATAGTGTTTGGTATCTGCTTTTCAGAACACCTTTTATTCCTGCAGTGACTGTGAAAACACAGCATCAGGCCCCAGTTTTTACCCATGTAGGCTACCCATGCCATGTACTGACTGGAGAAAAGGTGTATCATATGATTTATTAAGATTAATAATAAATCTCTGTCCTTTCTGCTTGACATTGTCTCACCAGTATCATGAGTTTTCATGTTCTGCCTGTTGTCAGGGACTCTAAACTGACCCTAAATGTGAGTGATGGCCTGCAACTCAGTTTTAACCTTGAGGTAGAGTGGTGCTCTCATGCCTTTAGTCCAGGGCATTCTGGGAAAAAAACATACAGCTTCATTACTCTCACACACAAAAAAACAAAAGAAATTAGGATTACATTTGTTTCCAGTCTAAATTCTGAGCTCCATTTGAAATTTATTACGGTGCGTCTCAGCCTAACTCTAAGTGGTCCAGATCTGTGCAATCTGTGCCACTTTTTGGATACAATACAATATATTTTGGGGTTTTTTTGTCTTGTATGCCACTTTCTCTTTTCTTCCTTTAGAGCATTTGGTAAGTTGTGCTTAGAAAAGTCATACATAGTGTTTGCTTGCTTATTTCTGCTGTACTTTATCAAAGTGTCGTCTTTGATTGGGCTTCACTTTTAAGCTTGTGAAATTACTCAGTGAGTTGAGGATCTTTGCAAATGATACCTATTTTGTGTTAATGATGAAACTGCATACAAAAATAGCAACTGTATAAATTCAGTATGTTAAAACTGGCTAAAGTATACTTTTAAGTACACTTCTCGCCTGCATCAAAGCGACTTCACCAATATACAGTAAAGATTTACTTTCCCAATTTTCATCAGTGTCTCATTAAAATTCAAATTAAGACATCCCATGTAGTGAAAGTGGAGGTGAACCAATGTGTTGGATTTAAAGGCCTCAGGCAAAACCTCCCTATAAGTTATGCAGATCGATTTGTTTTATAATGTCTAAAAAATTAAAGGTCAGAAATTGTTTTTTAGTGAATTTCATGACATGCTGCAGTCATTTACAGGTGACACTGCAGAAAAACACTTTTCTACTGCATCACTACAGAAAGGCAGATAAGGAGGAGAATTTTGGAGCGGCAGCTGGTTTGGATGTATAGATGGTGTTGGACTTTTACAATAGGTACATGCATCAAATATTCATAACCTTGTGCCAGATGCACACAGTATATTGGTAAGGTTTAGTGTGATGATTCCTGCTCAGTGCAGTCAGACCCAACACATGAGTACAAAACAGATGAATGACTCATTCTATGCATTGTTCAAGGTTGAAATCTGTTATTTCTTTGGTTGTTAATTCTTATTGTGGTATTTCAATTTAACACAGCTACTTGAGACTTTCAGTGCTGAAGTGTATCACACTCTGTGGCTGTCTTACCCTAAAATTTTTTTTAAGTCAGGATCTTGACATAATCAAATTTCAGAAGGAAAAATGGCAGATGTCAGTCCAAAATGGTTTATTTTGTAAAGGGGGCAGTTGGAGGAGATGAGAAAACATGGTGCGCTACTAAATGATGATATATTCAAATGTACATGACATTCAAAGGGTATTACAGTTATCACTCAAATTTCCACACATGAAGTTAAGTCTTCATTCCAACATGTTTACCAAATGTAAATGGATAAAAAGTTTTGTATATTTTAAAAATAAAAAAAATGTATCAACACAATAAACCCTTGGGATGCTGAAACAAAAAAAACAGAAATAACAGTTACATGCAGAATGTAGACTGATGAGTTAAATTTCTTGATTTTGGAAATAAAAAACACAAGGTGAATGACTAACACATCTTATTAATTTAGAGAAAATTTTGAGGTGAATCCTTCTGCCCTTTTGTCCCCATCATTAACTCACATTAGCAGAAACTGCATTGTTTCAGTCTTTTATTCACTATAATATAGGTCAATAGGAAATATAAGAAACTGCTATTAATGACAACTTGAGTGGTCTTGGCTAGCCATTACAAACAGCACATATGTGTTGAGATGCCTCATGAAAATGATGGCCCAAAATAAATTACATTTGCCAAAACCTAACGCACAGACTGGTAGGGAGGGGGAGGGGGAGGTTGGACTCGATGTAGGAACAACTGACGGGATGACTAGTCAAATACACTGTGAATGAAGCTCCTCTGGATGTGTGGCGTCCAGAGGTACGGCTGTAGAGTGAGTAAAAAGGTCCCAAAGTAGAAACTGCAGTCTTAACATGTGCCATACTTTAAAATGTAGAGGAAAACACCCTTACGCTCATCAATATGATGAGCAGAAAAGTCCCAAACCAAAGCTTTGAAGTCTTTATTTTTGCTATCGGGGAGAGGAAAAAAATACTCGAAAACAAAAATAAAACACAAAACAGGAGAGGGAGGGAAGAAACGACTCCAGATATTACGCTGAATGCAGAGAAGATGAACTGCACGAGTTGGGTGAGACACTCCGGCACAGGGGGTTATTTCCTGGAGCTAGACTTCTAATATCCAAAAGTACTGGTCTGGAGGACCCATGTTGGTCAAGGGGTGTCCATGGAGGTGCCTACAGCAAAATGCCTCAACAGCAGCATCTTAGCAGGCTGTCCATGAGTGACGCTATGTGCTTCCTGCTGCTTGGCTCTCTCCTCCCTCTGAATTACCTGCAGGAGGGGAGTGACAGCAGGTTGACAAATGGCTTGTGGGCTAGTGGTCTGAATACATGTACACTGATGGCAGTTTATTAGGTACACCTAGCTGAAACTATTGCAGTCTAATACAACAGTCCTGTAAATCCTCCTTCATCAAAGTTATGATGTTCAATCTTTTATTTTAATAGTTTTTAAGCAGCATTGATTCAACCTCATGATTATTTTAGAGAATGTAGTTTGCGGTACTGTTCTGATCTGCATCATGTTATATAGAAAGGTGTTTGTTATTTTGCCTACCCTCATTGATATAAATAGGTTCAACAAAATAATAGAAGCCCTGTCTGTACAATACAATTCAACATTACCACAAACTGCAGCCTCAAATAAGCAAGAATTGGAATCAACACTAGACAGCATTAGTTTTAACTAGCTGCCAACTGAGTGTATATCACAGTGCAAATGGCTGTGGCACAAACAAGCAAAAAGCTTTTAAAGCGACAATAAAATAAACAAACACTCTTTAATTGAACTAAAACTAAGAAATAAAAATTACTGACTTGTAGCAGGAGTGGAGGCTGAAGCAGAAGCAGAGGCAGAGGCATTGCCCTCCTCGTCACTGTCGTCCTCATTCGACTGTGGTACCTCGGCCTCAGGGATGGTTGTTGCTGGGGTCTCAGGCTCCTGCTCCACCCTGCTCTTCAGGGCCAAGATACGGTGATGTAACGCTGCAGCCAGCTGACCTATGTCCTTAGAGCTACCCTGAAGAAAAGAGACATGGGTACAGACATGTCAGCCACACTGAAGGGAAAAAAAAAAAAAAAAAACATATTCATACTCTTTCATTACATTGCTTCCAACACGGGATTGTGATGTTTGAGCCACTGGAAGGCTTTTAATGTGAAACATCTGAGCAGGGAGTGTTGAATTTCATTACTAGTAGTTTAGCTAAATATGGTATTAGAGTGTCATGTATGGACAAGCAACACATGAAATAAATAAAGTCAATTCAAATTTTGGTTTTGTCCAGTGTGTAGAAAGTCTACAAAATGGAAATCGAGTTATTAAAATGTGCACAAAAAGATTATTTTCACTTCAAGTAAAGCTTTGTAACTAGTCAAGAAGTACTAATTGTGCTGACAGTGAGATATTCAGGTCTGTGCTCCACTTCACTGAAACCTCTAATAGTACATTTCTATAATTTTAAAAGAATAACCTATACTTTAGTCTTTTTGCATTTGCGTAGGGGGGGAAAAAGACTAAAATCTCACCCAAGCTTGAACATAAATATTGCATAGCCCTAGCTTAGAATTAAAATTTTACATACCGATATTAGGAAGACCTTGACCCCCTGGTCCTCTGTGTCCATGGCAGTGATTCGTACACTCTTCTCGCTGGCCTTGTCCACCTGCATCTGGGGCCAAAGTTTAGTGTTGAGGATCAACCGAAGGCTGCCCTGGGTCCTCATCACTGGAAAAGTTCAACCACAAACACAAACAAGAGCAATGAACAACAGGCCCAAGCAGCTACTTGCTTTACCGTTGTTGCAGTCCATATTATTCTACCTGACTATGATCTCAGTGCAGTATGTCGTCATGAAAGATTTAAAAAAAAAAAAAAGACACTAGCAGACTATAGGCCTATAGTCCCACAAAGTGCCATTTCCAAGGTGACAGAGAATGTTTATATTTGCCAATATTTTACAGTTACAAATTCATCAACATAAATACAGTGACAAGAAGTATAATATGGCCTGGAGTAAGTGTGGTAAAGCAAAAAATAACGCAAAAATCTAAACTTTAGAGATAAAAGGGCTTTGTTTTCTATCCTTTTTTGTCTAGCTGATGAACAAATATATTACACAATCATACATATACAGTGTATTTAAAACATGCTGTGGCGTCTAGTCCATATGTGTGTAACATGGGGAAGGGCTCCCCCTTGTGTTCAACATCACGCATTGTAATAACTATGGCAATGAAGACCACAACTATGAACTCATTATTTAGATAAGTGTTACAACTATGAACTCATTGTTTAGATAAGTGTTACACATCTGTCTCTATAATCCCATATCTATCTTGCACACACAACCAATCAGAACCCCCCCCCCCCCCCCCCCCCCAAAAAAGAAGATGTTTCTGTACCTAGACGAGACTGTAGCGTGCCATCATCTGTCGATGCCATGTCGTTGAGCCTCAGCAAACCTCGACCTCTCTCTATCCACGACTGAGCAGTCTTCTCAAAAACGTATAACTTGCACTGCATCTGTGGGAAAAGAGTGCAGACAAACAAGGACTGTTATAGCTGTCTGCCACATTTATTTATTGCATGTCTTGAAATTAAGGGAGCCGCCCTCTACCTGTAAAACATTGCTTTCTGATTCTTCTCCAGTTTTGACGTCAACTTTCTCTAAGATGCACTTCTTGGCTGTGGCTTTGGTGTACGCTGCTGCAGACTCCTCCAAAGACTCTGACACGCTGTTCACTGGAGAGAGAAAACAAAGGTGAGAAATTAGCACCTTGCACGATTGTCAATGTTAGGTCACTTAGCTTTTCATCAACAATTCATGTGTGAAGAAGTCTGCTATTTTTCCCATGTTCTTGTACTGAGACAAAAACAATATTCTTTTGCAAAAATTTTGAACTAGCCAGTGCTGTAGGCTGATTATGAAGAACTCAGAGTGGCAGTCTATCACTTACACCAGAGCTGTAAAGGCCGCTGCAGATCATTTGCAGAGCCACTTGACCACTGCACTCACATAAACGAATGCCTGAACACGCAGCAGCTAAGAAATGCTGAATTTCTTTTCATTTTCACTGGGCAACATGGACAGTCGCTGTCAATCCCCGAACTGTATGCTCAGTATTATCTCACCAAATGAGATTGCACAAATAACATGACTACTGGCAATTATGTTAAAATACTGACCTTGGTTTGGTGTTGAAGTTCATAATTGGCTAAATATGAAACTAAAAGGTAATGTCATTCTCTTAAAAACAAACAAAAAAAGCTGTATATAATACATATATAATCATGGCCTCCATTTCAGTAAACACATTCATCAAACCAAGTCATACAGTATTCTCACATTTGTAAATGTAACAAGCAGGTGATATTTTATAGTGATCTAAATTCACTCCACATGCAAATGTGACAAAATTCTCTGTTGCACATTATTTCTATTTATCAGTTATTTGCATTCACTGTAAATAAGATGTGAATATGATGGGAAGGAAGAGGGGCAGTTATGTACACTCTTTTGTGAGAAAATATATGTAACTAAAAGTTACTCGAGTCCTTCAGCTCTCACAATTCCGAGGGATTTTCCACAAAGGAAACTGCCTTAATGTTAAAGGAAATGGCTGGGATATATCACTGGTGGTGTGGAATTTGTATCTCAGATTACAGATTAAATATTTATAACACCCACAGCTCTTTAGGGAGCACTAATCAAACACCAATTCCCAACTAAATTTGATGCTGATATTAAAAGACTTAATGTAACTTGTCCAATAGATGAAGACATATTTCACTGACTATTTCAGTTTGGATTATTATTTCAGTGCTGCATTTCTGTTAAACTGATTATTTTACCGCTCCAGGTCTCATTTTTGTTGTTTATGGTTGTCATTGGAGTGAAGCCAAGTGTCTCTTGAATCTATTAAGAGTCTAGCCAAACACTAAGCATTTTGTCAGTAATCAGGTGGGTTGTGTTTTTACCCTTCTCTGGGGTGGTTTCCTGTGATGAGGGCTCTGAAGCAGGGGTAGCTGAAACCTCTTTATTTTCCTCATTTGAGGACTCACCCTTGGGGGGACTCTGAAAATACAACAAAGCTGGTCATCGGAACTTGTTCATAGCTCACTCATTATGGGTTTTCAAATTCGACAAAAGGCAGACCATCTATGCAACAAACTGTATAACTCACCAGAACTCTTTCAGACATGTTCTGCCCAAAAACAAATTTTGCCCCACTGTCTGTACTGTTTGTGGCATTTTTTGAACTGAAAATGGAGGAAAGAAAAAAAACATTAGAGAGTTGATGAAGTTAATCATAAATGAAGATGAGTTTCTAAAAATACTCAAAGGAGGACACAATTTCATTACCTTGGGGTAGAGATGTACTGTAAGAAATAATTAGTGCCCTCTGATTGAGAGTCCAGTGGCACACTATCCTTTGACTTGTCTTCTGTACTGTTCTCCTCCAACTAGGGAAAAATAAAATCAAATTGTTAAATTTGCAATCATGCACAAAGCAAGCTTAAAGACAAAAAAAAGTCACCATTTCCAAATTGTCTAAATCGTTTTCACATATTTCTACCACAACAGTTCCAGACTGGCCACGACAACTGTATAATAGTGGACATTGTACAAAAACACCCAAGGAAATGCACCTCTTATCAGGAACTGAATTTACAAAAACCAAATGTGGGAAATTCTCTTAGGGAACTGAGACTCATTATTCAGGGTGAAATCTCAAGGAAAGGTGTAGAAGCCCCTCCTCTGACTGCCACTTTTAAGTGTTTTAATCTGTCTTTTGTTTGTCATATGTTTTTGCCTCAGGTTTGCCCACTCACTGCATATTACAGACAGGTATATATAAAAAAAAAAAAAAAAAAAAAAAAAAAAAAAGGTGAAAAATTAGAAAACAACAAACCTTTGCTCTGTCTTTGATATTCTGACCAAACACAAAAGATATTGCTACATCTGTCTCCTTTTTCTCTCTTCCACCTCCATCTTTGTTATCACTTGCTCCATCTTCCTCATTTTCATGTTTCTGAAATAAGGAAGAAAAAAAAGTCAACTTTTATCCATTTTCACATGTATATTTTTATGCCAGTTTTACAGCAACTACTCTTTGCACCCCTGAGCAGAAAGAAAACAACTCAAACTAATTAATTTCACTCATAATACAGTGATCCATTTGATGTCTAACATTTGCTTAACCTGCTATAAATATGTTCAAAATTCAGTATACTTCCTCATTTCAGAGGAACCCAGAAATAACCACAAGTCTTCACCTCTTCCGTGAAGAAACTAAAGTTCAGTGGTTTCCCACACATTCTGCAGCCTTAAACAAAGCCTGGAGTGAACTGACCAGCATTGTTTTTCAATACCAAGCCTTTGATTATAAACAGGCTGAGATTTAACCACTCACCAGTGACTTGGCCAGGGTGGCCGAGTGCTCTGTGTTGTTCAGGAAGAGGGACTGGGTCGCAGGTGGTCCATCTGATGACTTCTTCACGCCATTGGTTCCACAACTGGAATCTTAAATGTACAGACAGACAGGAGAAAAATAATTTACTGTTTTTTTTCATTGTCCCAAAGGGAATTTAACCTGTAAGGCACAGGCAGAAAACACACAATTCAAGGTTAAATGAATCATCAGGCTAAGAAGATTTTAATGTTTAGAGAATGTTTTACAAGTATCAACTAATGAAGGCGGGCAATTCTAAGCTAACTCACTGGACTCTATATGTGATTTAGAGGGCGGCGCCTGGAGAACTGCAGGGCGGAGGACACTGCGTTGCTGCTCCTTGGGTTTCTGACTTGGGACACCTGCAAAAGACAAAACTTGTCTTATATTTTTTAAATAATAAGGCGCTTTGGGTCTACAAGTTCAAGACTAGATGTACCATTTCCATTTCTGAGGGGTCATATAAAGGGTGCAAGTCTGTTCAAGCCCTTTTTCCATTTCAATAAACTCATTGTGAGACAATATTATATGAAGAAAGGAAACATCAAACACCAACCTGAACTTGGTGCCTGTCCATGTATGAGAGTTGGTGGCTTTAAACGGAATCCCACAGGCTTCTCCTCTGGTGAGATTGAGCACAGGAGAAGGCAGACATTAAAAAAAGAGTTACACAGCAACTTAAAGGGTATGTTCCTTTTGTCTTTGCACCTTTCAAACCACAGTGCCAGTTACCACAGCAACGCTTGTAGAGCCTCAAGAGTTGTGTTGCGATCCAATTCCTGTGCCATAACGTGACGGGCTCTAGGGCCTCTGATCTATTTCTACCTCTGTCTCTCCATCTCAGTGGCTTTAGTAGCCTGACATGACCTGGCCCTAATCAGTGCTAAAGCAGAAAACCTAAAGCACTTGTAAAAGCTGCATGCCCTTTTCCCTCAACATTTATGAGGCCATTCCCATGTCTAGCAAACATTGATGTTAAATGAAATTTCATTTTCATCCCCCCAGCCCAGACCTTATTTTCATTTTAATAAACACAGCTGTACAATCATAAAAAAACAACCACATAAGCAATCTAAAACAGTTTTTTTAAAAGTCCAATTTATCCAAATGAACAAATCTACCAGCTTGGAAGTTATATAAAAGGTTGAAATTATTACATCCACTATTTTGCAGAGCTTCCATCTGCAATAGTTACTGAACTTCTGCATCTAAGTAGTTTTACAACCAATCATGTTTCATATTTGCTCTGTTCATCTTTGTTTTCAATTTCAAATAAGGACTCCATGTAATAAGCTTGAAGTGGTTATCAATTATACCCTGTTTGCTCAAGTTGATGCCCAGTCCTCTCTGTAAAGCTGTGTTAAATGGTGACATCACCCCCCCACCACGCATCTCTAAACTGAGCTGGTGATAAGAATTATAGCCAGACACTAGAAACAGCAGTTGCATTAATTACAAAAAAACCCACAAGATCAATCCAAAGCAAAATTTGATGGGATATTTCATTTTTCCAACATTAAACACATCTTACACAAACATAGTCCTGCTCTAGTAATAATTTCAGAAAATCTCAGAACGTGTTTTTTTCTTTGCAAAAAGCATCAATTAATATATTTCTCATCTTGCCTTCTTCCCAGTGTTAATCTCATTCTGTTTTAAATGATTGCACCACTGTCTATTTAAATATTAATGACAAAAACTCCTCACTGGCCATTGATTCTGATCAGTTTTGCATGTCCCCTCTGATGAAATGCATGTGGTGAACCATAACAAAAATTCTGTCATACATGGTGACCAGTACACTAACAATGTGTGATAAATGTGACTGATTCTGAGTTTTACCCAAACCACATCAAAAAGATGGCACTGGCACGGAATTGAGACCCAAACTCATTCTATACCAACATCCAATTAACATCAAACTGACCCCGACTTGTACTGCCAAAATAGAGTCCCAAACCCAATGCTCTTTTTTTTTGAGACAGACACAGAAAGATTTTCTCACAAATTTCAAACTAACGTATCTGGGAACCGTGACTACATGTGAGGTCTATACAAAATTAGGCACAGTGGCCCACCAGCACAAAACACAACTGCCTTATAATCCATATAAACCATTCTTCTGACGTGTTCAGGAGTACTACACAAATTGCAGCCAACTACCAGCACACGACACCAAGAAATCATATAATAATAAACCCTGTGTCTTTAACAATATCAAGGTAAACTGTGCCTTTTTCCCCTCAATAATGATATAAAAAATTTGGTTGGTAAACTCAGAACTTTTTTCCTGGCTTAACTTGGCAGTTCAAACAGTCACAATGCAGAACAGAACTACATTATGTACAGGCATGGTCGTGGGTCATACAAGGTCATAATGTTCCCATCATGAAGAAGTCTTTAATTTAATAAATAAAGTAAATATCTTGTTTATTTCAACTTTACAATAGCACACATCTCAAATCCAATCATACCTGTGGAAGCTGTACTTTGCATTTTGTAATCACACATTTTTGCATTTACAGGCAAAGAATACACAAAACTTCACTGACATCTTATTTGCAAACACTGATGAACTACTAAACACAAGAATTATTTCTGACACATAGTCATTGGGCAATCTTAGTCAATTCATCAATTTATTGTCCTCAACTGTTAAAAAAGATTTACAAGTTTGACCCCTGAAACAAATATTTTTTACTGCATGGACCTTTTAAGTTGTGAAAAGAAACTAATGACAGTCTAGATGTCTCACCTGGCTCAGAGTCAGAGTTCCCAGTAGGAGACTGGCAGAAACTTGAGGGCATGAATACATTGTTCTTGGGAACTGCAAAAGAAGCAGACGGGCATTGCAGTCAGCATACAAATCAATGTGTACACCACAAATAATCAAGTTTAGTCACCCTGTGCCCTTACCAGAATGTGGGGGTGGGAATGATGAGGTCCTTTCCCTTTTCACTGGGGGGCAATAGCTTGCCTCATCTTTATCTGAATCTGAAAGTGACAATAAAATATTAGTATTATTCCAGTTTTAAAAAATTGTTGAGAAACTTAATATTAACTTTTAAAACGTGGCCAGTTTGGACATTAGATGTACCTTCTCCATCCTCTGCACTTGAGCCCTCCGCAGATCGCTTAAAGAAAACACAATAAGTCTTTTAGTTCTTCTCTCTCCCAAAAGAATAGTCCTCACCATTGCAATCATTAAAAAATTAAGGACACATAAGAAACAACGCTAGGCTGCATCTTGCTGAGCTCACTGATTTTCTGTCTGGAGCTGCAATAATGGATAAAGGTGAAAAGTGGTATCAATTCAAGCAAGATGTGTTTGACATGAGGTCAACATACACTCAGTTGGCAGTTAATGTAGTACACCTGGCTGACACTAATGCAATCTAATACAGCAGCCCTGCAATAAATCCTTCTGCCATGAAGGTTATAACGTTCAGTTTGTTTTGAAACTGTTTTGTAGAGCTGTTGATTCAGCTGCATAATAATTTTGGAGGCTGCAGTGAGTGGAGCTGTCGAACTGTATTGCAATATACGGGCAGGTGTTTCTATTATTTTCCACCCTATTTATATCAGTGAGGGTAGGCTAAAAAACAGAAACAACTCTCTGTATGATGCAATACAATTCAATAGCACCACAAACCACATACTCCAAAGTTATTATAAAGTTGAATCCACACCTCTTTAAAACAATTCAAACAAAAACTGAACATTATAACATTCATAAAGGTAGAATTCAATTCAAGACTTGTATTAAACTGCAGTAGTTTTAGCTAGGTGTACCTAATAAACTGCCAACTAAGTGCATTTTGACTTTTCCTAATTCATTCTAGTTAACAATTCTGCTAATAGTGACAGATTTGAATTTAGCAACTCATCTGCAATATATGATTTTCAAGAATTTAGTCCAGAATTTAAGCATAAGTGGTCAGCAAAATAATAACATTAGCTTTCAGCCATGATAAATACTTGAATAACATAGTGAAACTTACCTTCTGTGCTTTATCTTTTTGGAAAACAAACACAGGAGGCGCTATGGCAGGCTTGTCTGTTAAGAGAAGATGTAGGCTAGTCATCCAAGCACTAACTTAGGTGAAAAGCAATCATATTCATGCTTTATGGTTGAAAACAAAATAGGTAAGCTCATGGCATGTTCATTATTTGGCCTTGAGTTTCCCCTTAAAAGCAGTGACAGCATTACTGTTGATAAAGCCTAGAAGGTTATGTGCATCAATACTAATCAGCAGTCTAGCACTTACTTATACACCAAATTTCAAGGAACTGCAATACATCCCAAATGATGCCACAAGTCATACAAAACATTTTATATCATACAGACTGTCTGACAGATAAAAATTCTGTTTCTCAAACTTACGCTGCCTTTATAAGATACATCAGGTGATGCTTACGGTGAGGTAAAACAACTGTTACAGTTTATTTAAATGTCAGGTTTAGCTGGGTCAAAACCTATACTATAAAAAGAGGGAACTGTGAAAACAATCTGACCAGGGTGACTTGAGAAAATAAACTTCTATATGATGATCAATGTCTAATTTCAATCAATGTTAGACAGTCAAAAGCAATCAGAATATACCACCGTTAATCGTGCAATCCTATTAGGAATACCAAGAAGACAGAGATCACTTAATGTTGACCTAAACTAAACAATCCTAAAATACCAAAACAATGTGACGAAATAAAACAAATGCAAAGACATATGTGTAAATAACCATGTATCAAACAACCATCAAACTGTCAGACACTCCATATGGTCAAACAGTAACTATAACTAGTTTCATAATAAAAAGGGAGATTTCATTCATTTTACTCACACATATCATATTACTGCTAAAAGCTATCGTCATAACCAACAAGAATAACAATAGTCAGGCCAGGTAATAATTTAAATTCACCTCAGGCAACTTAATGCGTCTACCTTCACACGGTAACCCCTGTAAGATGTGTAATCCTATAACGTTAGCAGACAAAGGTTTTCCTCTGTCTGGGTTGGGCCTATTACACTGAGCAGGTGTAGCATCGTTGTCGTTGTGAGCCTTGCCGGGACATAAATGCATGCGGTAATAGCCAACTAGACGACAGCACACAGGCAGGATTGTTTACTGAACCGACATTCAGCGTCTCAATCACAAACCCTCAAGGCTAACACTGTCTGTTTATGTATGATTCACATGTAATGGAAGAAAACATGAAAACGTTGTGTGACCTATATTTAACAATTTAACACCCAGTTTTGTATCTCTCGGCGGCTTGCAGTGAGCTATCTTGGCTGATGAATGTAAGAAATCTAGCGTGCAACACTGATATTCACATCAGAAATTCAAGTAGCCCGAAATGTTCCCGGCTTATGTTAACCAGCTAGCATATACACTATACAACCCGCTCCAGCAAATACTCGGCGCCACAGGTTGTTCCTTAAAGCAGAAGCTAAGCAGTAGCTTAGCTTACTTGCTATAGTTAGCTTGCTAATGCGCTCCATCCCGCATGAGTCATCTTGCCCGACATGCAAGGACACCAAGATTCTAGCTGAATTCCCCTTCAGTTAACAGATCGACATGATGACAAGCAAATCTGAGCGGAATTAATAGCAAATGCCAAGAAAGCACTGACTGCACAAAAGCATTGCCTCTTGACTGACGTTTCTCTTTCTACGCGCCTAAATGAGCGTCAAGCAACTGAGCGCTAACTACATTAAATAACAAGAAGAATGCCGTAATGTAAACATTTCCTATCAACCGAAGCAACAAACTGGTATTGCCTCTGTACATTAGCTGTGTTGGAAGCAGATCCTTCATCTTTGGCCATGCAGGCTTATGTTTATACCCACATTAAATCATTTAGCTCACCACAAATGGCAAAACACACCAACTATAAATAGCCGGGTGCTAGCGTTAGAAGGTAAGCCAGCTAGTGGCAGGCAGCATTCGAGGGCGTTCCGAGGCATTCCAGGTATTACACACAGCCCAGCCGTTAGCATTGTTAGCCTGCTTGCTAACGATGTAGTATTGTAAACGCCGCGAAGCTCATAATTCACCGGAACTCACCATTAACAAGCAGCCATGTAGTTTCATTTCAGTTATCAAATATGCAGACAGTATACTGGCTCCGTTTATAACGCCACAGCAGCGGTATTGTTTTTCTCATACTGCCACTTACTCACCTTCGTTTGCCAAGTCCGCCATTTTACTTCGACGCTCACACACCCACAACCCACCGCGCAGATAATACAAGCCGAGGCTGAACCGTTTTCAGTGGCACAGAGCATATTGTCACCGTTCACTAAGTCTGTGAGGCAACCCACTGCCATCTCCTGTGCCCTTCAGTGAGCCACAAATACATTTTGTGCCCTTGCCTATCTCAATGTATATCTTATTAATTAAACATATTTCAACCAGCCCCATGGAACAGCTTAAAGTTTGCTTGGAAAGCCTAACCTACGACTACAGCAACTCCTTAGGCCCCTATAGAAATGTTATACCACGGTGTGATAATAGATTTAAAAAGTGTTACCTGCTATGAGTGACACACAGAACATAACTACTAAAACTAAACTATTGACGTTAAAAGAGCAAACAAACAATCCCAACTCAGAGTCCTTTTACTAGCTATTTCTGGACCTTTCAAACACATCCCACAGCCTTCCTCAGATTATAGAGTCCATGGAGATAGCTAACTCAGTTGTCATCATCGTTAATGACAACAAATGAACTCCCACAGCACTGAAGAAGGAGACAACTTGCCAGGAGAGGGACGTGCTGTGCAGATATGAAATTCTGCTCACAGCACATAAGCAAAGGAAACCACATAAAAAGATGAAAAATGTCCAGAGGGCAACAATAAATTACTGCAAGTTCCTGAGGAATAACAGTCATATGTGACAGGGAGAGGGAGAGGGGGCTCATAAGCAAAGATGAGTCACAAGAAATGAATTTAGGCCTATAGCCCACACTTGTAAAAATTAAAAATTAAAAAAAAGGAGGGAAGAGGAAGTTTTCACAATAGATTCAGTTTGAGTGCCATTCTAGTCTTCAATACCTTCAATATACAATTTGTGAACTATTTCTTTCTTGGTACTGTTATCCTTGTTTAATTACCTCTCCAGTTTCAGCTGCAGCTCTACAGCCCTCCCCAGAGGCACCACTGTACAGGTGCGGATGGTATTTAGTATGACAGCCAATAATGTGAGGGTAAACAAATAAAGCATTGGTTGCATCTCTCCTGTAATCACTATGTTTAGATTTATGCACACAGGGGCAGTGTTGCCTCGCAGTGAGAGGGCTCAGGTGTTTGAATCAAAGAGAGAGCTGGATAGTCAGAAAAACACTTTACATGACAATGTTTAAAAACAGACATGATGTTCACCGTGATGGATTCATATTATTTTCATACCCCGTGGGAATTGATGAAAGAAAAATAAGTTCCAAACTAAAGAAAAAAAACATAAAACTGTTTGGTATGTTCTGGAAAATAGTCTGAATAATGTTGAAAATGAGATAATACTAATTATCCTAAATTAACAGACTCAATTAAAGATAGCCAGTTTAATCATTTACAGTCACACTGTGTCCTTGAAGTCTAAGAAACATGTTGAACACATTTTAAACCTCATAAAACATCTACAAAGCTTTTTTAAAATGTTTTGAAACAGGATCTTTTTTACATCATCTTCTCTTTTATTGGTGCCTTGGTATCTTCTATGGAGGCCACATTCCCTGCGCTGTGAATCAAACATGAAAACATCACGGACTGTTCTGTAGTGCTGATTGTTTCCCAGAGCTGTAAACAAAAAGCCTCTCTGTTATGACTGAAAGAGACACTTCCTCAGAGATTTGGGGACTCTAGAAAAAAGCAAGAATGAATCCAAATTCTAACACTTTTCAGTTTGTCTTTTCTGAGCACTACTGACATTTGTGTCTGATCAAGATATTTTCATATGGATGTATGTGTCAGTTTTCAATGTAAAGCCAATGCAGGTCCCTTCACCTGCCACCAGAGGGCAAACAAGCCTTTACAGCTGGAGGTAAACCTCTCATGCACAGACAGTTACCACCTCCCACATATTCTGTATCGGCTTGTTCAAACACCTGATTGTTAACATGACATAACATAACATAACATAACATAACATAACATAACATAACATAACATAACATAACATAACATAACATAACATAACATAACATAACATAATCGAATCTAAGATTGGTTTTGTGGTTTTGTTTTGTTTTGAGTTTTTTTCCATGCAGGAAACATCAGTATGTTCTTAACTTGGTTATGGCTTCATAGCAGCATAAATTGTTAGGACATACTCACATTTCTTAATTTCTGACCTGATATTATCAGAAAATGACATTGTAATCTGGAAATAATAAGGAAATCATTTTATGATCTTGCGATAATGGGATTAAAACACTAATTACAATCCCAGTTGTTCTCTGTTGACAAATGAAACCTATTCTTTGTCATACTCTCTCTTTCTCTCTTTCTCTCTCTCTCTCTCTCTCTCTCTCTCTCTCTCTCTCTCTCTCTCTCTCTCTCTCTCTCTCTCTCTCTCTCTCTCTCTCTCTCTCTCTCGCGCTCTCTCTCATAAACAGTTTCTCTATACTATATGAGTATATGAAATCCTTCCTTTTAGGAAATGACCAAATGCCAGAAGCCAGATAAAGAAAACATTTAGGCAGAAATCACTGGGCAAATATGGCACAGATTATACCAGCTGTTTGTTTTGTTAGTTCAATTATGGTTAAGGAACACTGCATAGAACACATTTCATATCAAGAATTTGTATTGCTCAATGTTGACCAAAAGTTTTTGGAAAGAGTCATTCAAATTTGCCTTCAGGCTCAACTCAAACAAGCCACTGCATGTGTTTATGCTATTTGCCACAGAAAACCCTCATCTGGCAGAGGAGCTTGGCTTGTACTTTGAGCCATAACAGTTTTTGTTTCTGTTTCTGCCCATCACCATGGGAATTAGCTGATGTCCACTGTCTATCATTGAGTCACTATAGGCCAAGGAACTTAACCCTTACTAAGCTGTAATTATATACGCCAGCTAAATGCTAGGATGTTTTTTGTGCTTGACAAAATTGTCTGTTACTATGCAGTATTGCAGATTTCCAAACAGTCCCTGTAACATTGTTCAAATAGTAAAAGTGGCTACCTCATTTCCGAATCCATCAGAGACTAGTAAAAATGGCATTCTCTCCTCTTCATGTGTGTGATATCTGCATAATGATATGTGTTCCTTGAAGTAATGTAAGACCACCTCAGACACACTCTGTTACATAACAGACTTCTTTTTTTTCATATGACTGTAACGAACACCTAAAGATAAAACCCAGGGAAAATTGACTGGGAAAGCACATGGGTAATTATAACACACTCACTCTTCCATGTAACCCCAAAACTATCATATTTGTTGAGTAGGATTATATCTGATCTCATCCTCTGAGCAGGGTCATCTGAAGAACACAGATTCTGGTTAACGCTAAATACAGCTGAGTGATGAATAAATCAGAATATAATAAAAATGTTGGTTTGAAAACTGCCCTCAATAGTGTAGTGTAACCGCCAAAAATTGGGCAATTTAGCCACATTTAGACAGAGGTGTACAGATTTGCATACTCACATGATTTTTCATGTTGAACAAATCATACAATGCCAATGTAGCAGGTGTCTCAGAGACTTGCGGTGTGCTCCACAGGTCAACAACAATTTACCAGTTCCAGAAGGAATATTAATATTGTTAAAGTCTAGTGCCAACATTTTGAAAATGATTCCTCACTTCAATATCTGTGACAACTACAGTTGAGGTTAAGAAAAGTTCATGGTTGGTTAAAAAAAAAAAAAAAAAAGAAATATTAATTTCTAGGTCTGTGACTTGACAGGAACTCCAGTTTCCAGATGTAATACACACCCATCAACCAACCTGATTATTCACTTTGCTACATAAAATTCATTATACATTGGCACAGAATGTTAATAGATGTGTCTAGTATTAATTGCAAGCAAAACTGGGTTATGTGCAACTATGGCAGGTTCTGGTGAGAAGAAAAATCTCACAAATACGCCCCTTTTTTATCCGTGAGGCATTGGGTATACCAATCTGCGTAGAAATAATTTTGGAAAATCTTATTTTGAAAATATAAAAATCCCACTTAACAGGTAGTGTAAGTCTGGGAAAACAGTGTATCTTCAGTGGTTCTATCACATAAAACCTCCTCTATCTGTCATTCATAACCATTGGTTTACTCTTAAATCTGACCACTCAGGGTCTAATGTCCTGCACTTAACATCCTATCACAAAAGGAAACACAACTAATAACAGAAATGAGAATACTCTGGTAAGTTTGGTACCTTTAATATTACAATGAATATACTTCTGTTTTTGTTTCTGTTGTTGTATTTTTTACCTCTGGTGATTGGATTGTTTTGTTGGTGGTATCTGAAAAGAAATGACTGGGTTGTGACAAGTTTACTGTCTACACTCATGACATTCCCTTACCTAAAACAATTAGGTTACAAAGTTACACTTATCAAATGAACTTATCTCCTGACCCCTTTGGCGTTAACATAGAAGTTTTGCTCTGTACATTCATACAGAAAGAGAAGAGAAAAACTACTGATTTCACATCTTTCGGACCTTTCAGTCATCATCACACTCTGAACACATGAAATCCTGATGCTTCAAAATCAGTCATAAATGAAATATGAGAATCTTTAGAAACTAAATTCTTTTTTTTATAGTTTCCCTCTGTGTTTGCTTTTATCTTTATTTTTCAGGTACATGCAGTTTACAAATGGATGGTTGCAACAGAAGTAAATGTTAAATCAGTATCATTACTCAGTCCACAGAATGTGAGACAGCTCTGTCCTCATCTCCACTGTAGGTTTTTTTGTACTGCATGCAAAGTTAAGTTTCTCACACACTGATGAATGACTTCTTTGACATGTCTCTGTTCACATGCATGCAAAACGACAGCATCGATGAAGGGATAAAACAACATATCATATTGTCTGAAAGGAATGCTGAAGACAACGCAGTGTATCATCTCACGGCCTGAGTCCAACTACACTTGGCAGTGGACCATCATGTCCTGACAAATGTTCAGTGCCATTAATCAATTTTTAAATATGCAATCACAACCAGGAATTGAGATAATCGCAGCCAATTCTATAAACATAGTTTTTTTTTCTTGTTAAAGTTACAGGTTGCTTTGCCAACAAACATTCAGATCTCTTTCATGTGTTGAAACCCACATGGCTTGCAGGGAACATTCACAGCAAGACCAGAGTTGCACAAAAGGACTGAGGCAATTTGTTAATAAATCCTAGCAAACCAAGTGTAAAGGAAGTGCTTACAGCCTGGGCGGCAAATCCGCAGAATCCTTCTATACAACATAATTCACAGTGGTGGTGTTCTGTCGCAGTCGTGGTGTACTGAACAACTGAAGTCAGCACCAGTATCCTGCAGGCAAAGGAAATGAAAAGGGCAGGTCCATGAAATGTCTTGTTGGGCTTTAGCAGGGTGGATGTGAATACTGGTAAGAGTATAAACAGTCTACTGTGCTATCAAATGTCCACACAGGCACTCATGGCCCATTAATATCTGTCACAGTGTTCAACATCAACAAAAAAAAAATCCATGTGAAAAGAACACAGCAACTTATTTTCAGGCATTAACAGGATATGGGAGGATATGCAATATGACTGACAAATGCTGACAAATGTTTTTAATGCAAAGTTTCTCAGCTGTCAGAAGACAATACAGCTGATGGGAGGATACCTCATATCTGATTCTGTGCAAGTGATGTTTCATACATCAGAGTCAAGTTCTTATGAAAATACTGAGAAGTGTAACAGGAGGTCAACTAGATTTTAGTGTTAAACTAGTATATTTCCCAACAATACAGCAGCAAGCTACTCGTGCATAGTGCATGTCGGGGTTTAAAACATAAATTAGCAGGAAACATTGACATCAGATTAATATATGTTGCATCAAAAAGGATTAAGTCAGGAAACATGAGCCTAAAAGGTGATTTGTCATCAAGTATAAGCACCAATGTTGACAGATATGCCATTAATTTTTGATATACTTGTATTACTGTGATGACTTTGATATGCGGTGTCTAATGACTCATAATTTCCGGTCTCCTTTCAGTTAAGAGTCAAAACAGGTTGGTCAGATTTTCAGTTGTCAGGCCAGGTGAACTCTATTGATACTGAGACATAATTTTTATGGTCCCATAAAACTTTGTGTGACATCTGTCAGTGACTTCCACACACCAATAAAAGTAAATAAGTAACAGCACTCAGTCACTTTCATTTTATATTTGCTACATGATATGCACCTACCAGAGATAGCGAGAACAATTTGTCTCAGCATAAAAGTAATATCCTATTGTGTACAAGGCAATATTAATATTATTAATATTAATGGTTTGCATTGTGTCTGCGAAATAAAGAACAAGATGAATATCCAAGTAAAACAGAGGTAGGAAGTCAGTCACTGTGTGTGCATCGCGGTCATGCTTCATATTATCAAATGAAGCTCAGAAATGATTTCACAGCAAGCTTACTAACTGTAAGTCTGATACATCTTAAGAGAAATTTAACATTGCATGTGCCTTATTGTTTGCATCTGTTGGACATAGAGAGATTTTAATTTAAAATTCAGTTTTAGATCAATTTTGAAGAAGTAAAAGATTTCAAAACGTGGGGTGATGGAATGGTTTTCTAAATATTTAAGATGTTTTCAACATTAAATAGGAGTTCATATCCAGTGCCATAACATCAGTAACATCAGTCATCATTTATCACTTTGGTAGTGATGATAAGGGCATAGTTTTGAGGGGTCTAGATCTTTTTATATCTAAATCAATCATGAAGGAAATAATGTTCTTTAATGTTTTCTCTTCAAGCAAACCTCAGAGTGTATATGAAGATGGAATGGTAAATGCATTGTATTTATACGGCATATTTATCAACAGGGCTTTAAAATTTTCTTCTCATATACCCATTTAAACTCACACCACCAATGGTGGTAAGCTTCCCGTCATAGGCCCTGAGGAAAAGATGGTTTTAGTGAAATTAACTGTGGTATAAACAATTCATTACTCATTACTCCAATATGAATGGATATATTAAAAGGGGAAGTGAGTTTCCTGAGAGATGTTAATTATGCTGTCTGACCAGGAGTTCAGATGTCTCAGGCAGAGGTATTTATTGAAAGCTGACGCGCTGCAGAGAAAGTTATGAGCAGTGCAATGACAGCAAGTGAACCATAGCACTTCCCCAACAAGTTCTGAAGATGTCTTGCCCGAACACGGGTATATATTTCCAGGTATCACAAGGTTGCAACATTTCACCACACCTTACTCCGTGTAAGGTTGAACTTTATCCTAGACAATAATATATACTATTGAGCAAAATCATAAATTATCATCATAAATATTAGATTTATATTTCAAAATGACAACCTGATGTAAGGGTGTGTGCTTGTACTCAAAGAGAAAGACATCATTTGAGTGAGAAGATACAAATACCTGTTCAGTTGTTTATGTTAACACACTTCTCTTGAAACTATATAGGCCACGAAAGTCTGCAGAATAAGCTTCAGCAGTTTTGCATTAGCACAAACGTGCAATTGTCTAAGTCTGTTATTCCACCCTGTTTGTTAAAACCTGTTATTAAGTGCAAGGATTTCAACAACAGAACTTTTTGGATAAAGATTGAGAGCAAGTTATGTAAGAGTGAGTGCTCAAAACACCTTCATTCAACAGCGACTTTTGAAGACTTAATTTTTCTCAATATGTTACTGTCAGAGTGAGGGGATGTTTAAAACCTTTAAGAGTTTAACAGGCCAGACTCCAATTACAACAACCTCAAGCAACATGGCAGTTGATTCCATATCTGACAGACATATGTGGCAGCCCCACACATACTACATACATGCTGCTTGGGAATTTCCAACCTCTTGAGAATTGAGGAGATGTCATTGAACAATAATGCAACTAACTGTGCTGACTTAAATCATATGTTTCTCCAGCTCTCTTTCTATGCATCCACTATCTCAGGGAGCAACATAAGACAACACACATGAGCTGAAAAAAATTAATGCTGGGTTGAAAAAAAGAAAAAGAAAAAAACGCTGTGCAAAGGTGAGCAACATGACACCTGCCCCTGGGTGCTTATAAGAACGCCTCACCTGCGCAAGTAGATAACACATGAAGAGAGCTACAAACTACACCTGGAGCATTAGAGGTGAGTGTTAAAATATGAATAGAGACATTACAATCTGTGTTTGTCAACAATTAGTCTTTTTCAGAAAAAAATGTGTCTTTGCTGATTTGTTCTGCTCATCAGATAAAATTCAGTAGGATTTTTGTAAAATGTAAAATATTTTCCATATTTCTTATTATTTTCTTTATTTCCTCTTCTTTATTTGTTTATTTACCTATGACAGCACACATCATTCACATCATCATGATGTAAATGTGCCACATTTAGCTTTTCTTTTTTTTTAGATTTAAATTTTTTACATTTTTTTCTCTTAATAAATGTATTTTATGTTGTCCACCAAAAAAGCTGAATACAGGAAACTTTTACAGACAATGGACATCAAATACACATGTGCCAGAACCATGATTGCTTCATTCAGCATGTGCAGACAAATCCTGTGTGAAGGAGACTGAGATATGGAGGTTAAAAAAAAAAAAATATGGGATTAAAAGAGCTGGTGCTACATGTCGGTAACAGACATAAAAGAGGTGGTGTAAAACATCTGTTGAAGGTCCAAGGTTTGAGATGTGAACAGGGAAGGCATGGAAGGAGTAGAGGTTGAACAATCACAGAGCGATAAGGCTGATTGCAGGTAAACATCGTAATAATTCTTTGCAACCATCTGTCTTTTTTTTCAGAGCTGCATCTACAGACTTCACCATGAGGTTGAACGTGCTGCTCTTCCTGAGCCTGTCTCTCTGTCTTGCACTGGCACAAGGTAAAGAGCTGTAAAAGGATGGCTAGTATCTGCAGCATAAAATGAGGGTCAGAGAGGCTGGTTTATTGCCTAGGTACCTGCGTGGGCAGATGTGCCCTCACTGTGTATTTATTGCTTTCTTCAGCACCTTCCGCATTCCCTGATAGTGTCAATGGCTTTTTGATTATTTGACTTGATATAATGCACTTTATCTATGTTGCACATATTGTACTGGATTTCTGACTTTACTGTTTTCTGATCCGTCAGTGTCCTATGAAGACTGCTGCCTGAAATATGTGAAAAAAATGAACCACAGCACTCAGAAACATGCAGTGAAGTACAGACGGCAGGAGACAGATGGAGGCTGCAACATCCCTGCTATTGTGTAAGTGCACACTTTCATGAACACCCACTTTATAAGGGAGTTGATCAGCCCTCATGAACTCTCAATGTTTCTTATTTTAAGGGTAGAGGTTTCCTATCGTTGCTGCTGAAAATAAACATCTGTTTGAATCGATTGTTCTTTAGATTCACCATGAGGAAGGGGCGAGTGTTTTGCACAGACCCCAGAGAGAAATGGGTCGAAGAGCTGATGAATAAGATTGACACAAGGGGAGCCAGAAAAAACAGCTACAACCCCTCCAAGGTGAGTGATTATTGATGGTACTTTTTGCACTTCAGAACTTTCAAGTCATGTGTTGATGTTTGCATTTATTATGTTCCAGATACTAGTTTTTTGCATCTTGAGGCTTGATTTTTGAAAACACTTTGAAGTTGATTTGAAATGTTCTGACTGCACTGACAGATTTATCTAAGAATTAAACTTTAAGGAATCAATACCAGAAAATTGACTTGATAAAACAAAGATTTCTGCAGTGTGACCTGAGCATTTGAATGTGAATCTTTAAATAAAAGTGTGAACTGATTTTCAAATGGAGATCTTTGTTCTTCAAAGAACCATCCACAACAGTAGCGGAAGAGAGGCTGAGGGCGAGAGCCTGCCAGCCCCAATCATCCTTCTGCCCTCTGGTTAATCTTACCATCCACCAAGATGCAGTTGGACAGTTTCATGACATCTGACTGGAAGGCAGACGAGGAAGCTGGCCAAATTTTGTAGCATTACTTTTGCTTTCACTCTGCATTAAGCTAAGGGTCAAGAGCTTGTGTAGAATTGCAGCAGCACTTTGTTGTCCAGGGTTGGGCTGTTAATGCTGAGTGGTCTCCACACAATACATATAAATATGTTCAATAGCATGGCTGCTTCACTGGGATTAATTGTGACCATTTTCTTGCCTTTTGAGAACTTTTAATGTTCAATAATATGTTTAATTGTATGAATGGTGATGGAATGGAATTAAATGTAAATAACTTTCTGTAATGTTTGTCATAGGGAAGGAGAAATTCATGTCTTAATTTCTGAATTGTTTAAGTGCCTTTTCATAAATTTTGTGTCTGGCTTTTATTACAGTATATGTGTTCCCATAAAAGCATGATTGCAATAAACTTGCTTTTCAGATCCCACACAATGTTGTTTAAAAGTTCATGTATATGTACATATATAGGGTAGAGCGGTAACAATATAAACTTTCTCCAATGTTTGCGTCACCTGATGCTATTAAACACAATGATAACGTGTAACTCCTCTCACCATAAGCGACATCACTACCACAATTTCTGCTACCAATCACTGCAATACAACACAATATTGAACTCATTCCTGATATGTTGACAGTCTTTTACAGTAAAGTAACCACTTTACAACAGATTGCTTTCTCATAGCATTGCTATTATTTCACACACCGTTTCACTTTAAGCTCTTATTTTATGAGCTGTTCCTAAAATACTGTGATCCATGTAATTATACATTTCATGCTCTGAAATTGTGGTTTGTATATTTTTAAAATAATTTTCTTGTGTTTTCCTGCTTCTTGAGCAGTGCCTGCTGTGATAAGTTCCATCTCCCAAGCAAAAAATTGTGTCATATTCTTTTTTTCTTTTCCTTTAGTATCTTGCAGTGCAACTTTAAATTTTGCCAGACACCAGGACTTTGGCTGCAGTTGATTTTCTTTGCACGGGATGCACAGCTAATTAGATTACCAAATTACCAAATGAGACGAATAAAATCAAGACTTAACTATTCCAATGCAGTGCAAAATATCTACAGAGAGAAAGCAAGAACAAATAAAAAAATCTTCAGTGAGAGTATCGGTGAATGTGACATGTTGATTTACAACAAACAGTATCTGGTCTGACATGGTGCTAGATTTACTCGGTGATCTATGTGTGTTACTCTCGTCTCCATGAGCATTCACAGGAACTGCAGGAACATGCAGCTGATAACATCAGTCTGTGAATAATACAGCGTTCCACTTTGCTGTCTGTGTGGATTGATGACTTCCACGCGTTGGTGCCTGGCAGAGGCTCCGTCCTGCAAACTAACTTAAAAAAAAATTTTTTCCTCCATAGCAACATTATCAAAGACTACAAGCCTGTGCATTACAGTGTATTAATTATCTGATGTTTGTTGATTAAATGAAAAGTGTGAACACATCTTCTTGGCCAGTGTACAGGTGGTTAAGTGGTGGAAGTGAGTGGTATGATTGTTGTTTAAACGTTTTAAATAGAGCAATCACCATTAAAAAAGTATAGAATCTCCCATGCGTGAAGGTTCAGGATTTGTTCGAATTGGCTGCCAACTTAGCCTAAAGGCAGAGGTGATAGACTACCTGACAAATACATAATAATTACCAAGACATTAACGGCATATATGTTACTGATGGACATCCAAAATTCCATTGAATATGACGGATAGATGCACCACCTTCAGAGAATTTGGTTGCAGCTTGAGAAGGATTTTGGTGATGAGGCTTTGTTTCTTCTTGTGTATATGTCAACCATTCCTGACAAATGTGCTGTAGTCTTTGCCTCTGCATGCTGAGACAGAGAGACATAGCTGGTTGGCATCATGAGCAGAATTTTTTCTTTCATCCAGGGGGAAAACCATGAAAGGAAAGTATGAGACTGGAAAATAATATCAGTAAAAAAAAATCACCTACTCTGAAACAAATTGGATTTTTGAACACGAACAAATCAGATACAGAGAAAATTAGATTATAACATGTTACAGGAGGTGTTAAAAACAGAAATATAAACAATAAAGCACAGACTTGTTTCTTATTGTTGTATTTCTGTCACCTTCATAATGTAAAAAAACTTTTTTTTTCCTCCTCAAATTCATGTCAGCAGAAATGTGTGTGGAAGTTTGGTGCCAAAGATAATTATGGTGGAATTATAAATCATGACTCCAATCACAGTCAGAAAGGAGAAAAAGATGAAAGCCGTCATAAAACATTGCACACCACAAAGCACAGAAATTACATTATATTTATTGCCATATTTTATACTCTACCTAATACTCAAACTGTCATAACAGCTACTTTCTGTCACAATGAGCAGTGAACTGTATTTGCAGGATCATGAATAATTGTTTGCCTTGCTCTATAGTATTCTTACTGTAGTGAGCAGTTGTTTAATAGTCCATTCTTTATCATGTGAAGGTGTTGCAAGCTAATATTAATAATTACATACATAAATACGTCTTTACAATTTTTTAAATAAAATTTAAATACCGTACATGTAAACATTTAATGACACACATTAGTAGAAAAGTCCACAGTAGAAGGTCAGTAAAAAAAAATCTGGGACAGAATTGTACCAACAATATTAACTACTATAAACAGGTTAGACACAAAAATGAAAATTGATTTTATAAAAACATGATAGCTAGCACAAAAATAAATTACATCTTGCCCTGCTAATTTATTTACTGTAAGGTTATTGTTACTAATAAGTATTTTTTTCCATGTTTCTACAATAAAACTGATCGCTGATCAGTTAGCATGTATGGAAATTTATCACCAAGAATTTATAAGGGATCAAAAGTTGGGGTCTAAGTTTCAGGAAAAGATGAATGGAAAATCTGAAAAGGGGGGTTTAAATATCATTGAAATTCTATCATTGATATATAATACACTATATAGGGATGGATAACCAAAAAATCAAACGTGTTGAAAATGTCAGAACCCTAGGCTATTTATAACCCTGTTTACATTTTCCTTTTTCACATTTCACTCATTAAAAAAAAAAAAAAAAAAAACACGTGGTGAGAAATGAACCTCAAGGTCATTCTCAGTCCAGTGAAATTTCCTTCATGCTCAGTTGGTTTAAATACATCACACACTTTGAAAACGTTTGATGTTATCTTGGTGCACACACGACTGACAAGTATGAGCACAGACTTTGCCACTGGTCTACACTTTCAATTACAATGACTTGCAATAGCATGAGAGCATCTGTTCACAGCCTGATTCAAATCTAAAACCATGTTCTACCCTTTTAGATTTACTAAAAACTAAAAGAAAACTACTGAGGGATTAGTTCAACGTTTTGAGACATAGCCTATGTTTTATCGCCCTTGTTCCGAGAGTTAGATGAAAAGAACGGGATCAAACTCATGTCTGTGTGTTAAGTGTGGAGCTGGAGCCAGGAGATATTAGCTTAGCTTAGCATAAAGCATGGAAGAGGAGGGAAACAGCTAGCCCAGCTCACTCCAAAGTTCAAAAATAGCTATGAGCAGAATTCACTAATTAACATGTTGTATTTGGTTTGCTTAACTATTTCTTGATGAGCCACAGTTTATGCATATTTCTGTGTAATGTCTCAACTCGTTGACTCATTGTCTAGCTTGGTCCTTGTTATCACCCTACAGTGATAACAAGAAAGGACCAAGCTAAACCTCCGGGCTCCAGCTCCATGCTTAACACACACATATGAGGGTGGTAACAATCTTCTCATCAAACACTTTGGAATTAGGTAAATAAGAATATGTTTCAAAATGGTGAACTATTCTTTGAAGAAACCAAACTACATGACGATACAGACAACAGAGTGACGCTTATTTAGCTGCCCGTCTGAGCCCCCTGTCCATCTGAGTCTATTCTGGGACTCTTTGGTGCATAACTGGTTGTAGCCCACAGCTTCCACAGATCTCCTCTTTTGGATGCGATGTAGCAAAATCCGGTATGTCCCGGTAACGGGGCTTCTTAAGTCTAGGCTGTTGAGGAGATGGACCCTGGTGATGCCGAGATCCTCCAGAGCAGCTTTGACATTTAGTTCATCTGAGCTGAGGATGTAGTTGGTCTCAACCAGATGGGAGGGTGTAGGGCTGTAAGAGGGGTAGGCCTGGGGATACTCAATGCCTCTCATCCACTCGCTGGACATGATCTGTGCCATAGTGAGGCGATCAACAGGCACAGACCTCAAGAGGCCCTTAATGATCTCCTGGCATGATTTAGGTACAAAGGAGGGGATGGTATAAGAGCCCTGCAGGATACAACGTCTGAGCCTTCCTGTGTTAGTAGCTTTGAATGGCATGGTGGCAGTCACCATGAAGTAAAGCAAGATACCCAGCGCCCAAATATCTGCATAGTGACCAATGTAACCTTTCTCTTTGAACAGCTCAGGGGCAGCGTAAGGTGGAGAGCCGCAGAATGTGTGAAGGACATCGCTGGGGCAGCAGAATGTGCTAAAACCAAAGTCGCCCACTTTAATACAGTAAGTGCTGGTGTAGAAAACATTCTCTGCCTTCAGGTCCCTGTGGACAATATTGTTATCATGCTGGAAAAAAGAGAAAACAGATGCATGTTTGAGATTGTTATACTGACATTCATGAAAAAGTTGACCGGCTCATTTAAGCTCATTGACCTTAAATACAAAGTCACATAACAAGCTTTATTTTAAAGTGTTATCATTACCTGGACTCTATTCAACAACTCTAACATATAGAATATAATCCATTAAAGTGATATCAAATTATATTCTATCCTTCCAAAAGCATCTTATTGTAAAATTGGTCTCTGCTGTTGACTTACCATATGTTTGACTGCAGACAGGATCTGAGAGAACACAAGCTTGCCCTCCAGGTCTGACAGGCGCCCCCTGGTGCTGATACGGGAGAACAGCTCTCCCCCACTGGCGTACTCCATCACCAGATAGAGACGCTTGAACGTCTCCACCACCTCATACAGCCGCACTATGTTGGGGTGAGCCACCTTCTCCATGCAAGAGATTTCAGAGGCAAAAAGCCTGTGCGAGTGCTTGTCTAGACGCACTTTATCCAGGATTTTTACTGCCACTCTCTCTATCAGATGAAGATAGACATGGACAAAGTCAGTGAGGCAACAAGGAATAAACATATTTTCCCCTACATTTTTTTTTTTTTACAGTCATTCCTTAGATTGTGAATGATTTATTTTCCTTCCTTCTATTATTATATTATGATCACACTTTGGCCCTCTCACAAATGTATGCTTATCAGTTATACAAGCTGTGAACTGTGAAGGTTGAAGACTAACAGTGTGGATTAGTGGGTGGCTGCTTGATGAGATTATCTATTGTCTTCTGACACATGGAATGGCCCAGACTGGACTTGCAGTGCTGAGATGAGCTGACCCCAGTGTCTTCTGAGTCTGGGTGTCAGCACATTCATTATAAATTGAGGATAAGGCAGGTGATATTATATATTTTCTTTCTGGTAAAAAAAATCCCTTGAAAAGCCAACAATAAACTAGCAAACGTTGTTTGTAGCTATTCCACTGTGCCACTGAGCTCCAAACACCATTACAATGACATAACTGAGCTGCACTGTTGCACTGGAAGACAATGTTCCTTTATTATCATGAATATGGGGACTGTAGTTTATTTTGAGTCAATCCCACATACGCAGTCCTGCTGCCAGAAATACTCACCAGAGCATCAAATTAGCAGCTAAAATAATTCCCTAACAAAAGCACAATGTATTCCTGTTTGTATAACGTTTGCTAAAAACTACAATGCCCAGTTTTAGGAAGCTATTTTGCCTTTCTTTCAAATGAAAGTATATATTCTTGACCTATTTTTAAAGATATACTGTATACCCTCATTTGGGAAAAAAAATGGGCTTGGGTCTGAGAGCTACAGGGAAGCCGGGGAAGCTGGAAAGTATTGAGAGATGTTCTAATGCATCACGAGTTTCTGTCTTTTTGAGGACTTTCTTAACAATAAGAAAAATATAGAATATTGCTAACCTTATCCTTTAATCTTAAGAAGTAACTGCTCCTAGGGTGGGAGACAATAGTGGAGCTCCAAACTGACACCTAAAAGTTATATTCAGTATATCAGCGGTTAACATTTGACATGAAAACTAATATGACCCAGTATTTGCAATCATACTATAAATGTTGTCCAGGAAATGATATGACGAGGTGCAACCTTTCCTGAAACAACTTATCATTATTTTATTGCATCACATTTATTGCAATAACTCTGTCGTAATAACTATAATTTTTATATAGCCATGCGTCATATCTAAACACTGAGGCTGTGAAAACATTGGGGTGTGAAAAGACAAAGCATTCAGTAGCTCACCTTTGGTCAGGTCATGTATTCCCAGTCTAACCTGGGAGAAGTTGCCAGAGCCGATTTCCCCTCTCAGCTCGTAAAGCCCCACCCGTCGTCCAAAAATCAGATCATTCATCACTCTCTCTGAATGGGTCTGATCATGGAGGGCCTTCCCTAAGGCCGTGCGCTGCATCGACTCCTGCTCCTCCGTCATGTTCTCCTTTGTCTCCAGCTTTCTCCCCAACTTTGGGGACATCCGGTTGATGATCTCCTCCTGACATGAAGCTGTCTTCATGTGGCCCCCTGAGATGGAGAAAGTGGTCAAGTTGGTGTCATACTTTGAGATGCAACATCAATGATTTCCATTATATTGGGTCTAATTAAAGTGCACCCAAATCATAAATGTAAATATATAAGTGAGTCTGTACTTACATGCTTTTCCTCTTATGTTCTTTTTACTCCTTTCTGTGTTGATGGCATTATTCCTGTTGTTCAAATACATGATTCCTACCCCAGGCACTGGAGGGTACGCTGCTTTCCTTGGTAATCAAAGTTATTGAAGATTTTAGAAAACAAGAAGTTGGTAAATTACCAAGACAATAAAATTCCACAAACCAAAAACTGAAGAAAAAACAATGTAAGATGCATGATTTGAATTCAAAACCATTTGCATGCATCAGGAAAAATACTCTAAGATGATGTTGCTTGTCCAGATACTGTTACAGTACCGCTGCTCTTTCTCACCAGCTCTCCCCCTATGCTCCAGTATTGTCTTGATGTATACTCCAGAGCTATCACCCTGTAATCCTGGAGTGTTGGACTCCACCCACGCAGACAGACAATAGACAGGCTTTGCAGAGGCCTCGTTAACCCCTAGACATAAATATGCAGCCTGATACAGGTGCATGAACAGGACATTGATGGGATTACCTTTATACTGTGACCATCATCATTGTTTGGGGTCAATACACTGAGGAAAGTTTATGTTGCATGGGGTTTCCTGCAAAACCTTTAATGAAGACAAACTTTGGTTACATTTTTACATTATTATTTAATTCATTATTCTACTTCATCAGAAGTAGTGCGTTGATGAAGGCCGCACTGATGACAAATAGCAAATTCAAATTCTTGTAATTTTCCACCAAATCAGAACAAAACAAAATGCTATTTTACCCTCATAACTTCAACCACAATCTAAAAGAACTGAACACAGGGAGTTTGTGATGTGGTCTTGTAACTGGGCTCCACAGAAACAGTGACCCAGACGCTGACCATGACACCAGACAGAGGCCAGGCCAGACATGTTACCCATCGCTCCTGTTAACCTCTGCTACCCAGACTGGACAAACGGATTGTCTAGCGCACGTGCATAAGCTGCATATTCATGTTGCGAATGACTCATTTTAATCCAATCACTGCCTCATGATTATGTCAGCACATGCAGCGTTGAATTAAATTCCTCTAATGAGGAAAGGCTTACTGTAGAGGGAAGAGTGGCTGCACTCAGACAGGTGTGTTTCATAATTGTACAGGACAAAAAATAATAATAGCAATATTAGAGGACAGTCACTGCGTAACAGAAAATCACAGTGCAGTTCATTATCTGTGCTTTTGCTAAGGAGGACTAATGGATGAAAAGAGATTCAAAATGCATGTGAAAGGCACAGGTAAAACACACCAGGCATATATTCTAATTCCTTGGGCATTTTCAAGCAAAATCATTTAATGGACAGTACGTGAAACAAATTTCAGAGAGAAATTTATAAATTGAGGTTTTACATCTACATTAAAATCAATAAACTGAAACTGATGAATGCATCTAAAATGGCCTCTGAGAAAAATGATTAATTATTAAATACTTTAAATGTTGCCTTTGTGGATTTTTAAGAAAAAGTGGGGTAAAAAAAACACAGCATTGTGGAGACTGAAACTTTATTCTTGACCTTGGAAAAAGCATTTGGCAAAATGTCACCACACAGTCCATTAGTAGCTGTTCTGGTACTTTGTGTTGTATCACACGTCTTACCAAAGAGGTTTCAAATTTTCATTTTTACTTAAAGGGCCTGTCGTGAGATTGTTTGTCCAACTGATGTTTCCAGGCTGAAGGATGAACTATCATTGTCTACATTTAAGCCAGCGTGGACACAGAATCCCTAACGCGCCTAGAGAAGTGGAGATGTAAACACAAGTCTCTCACAACTGGAAAAACTTTTTCTGCTGAGGAAGATCATGTGACTCAAATGAAAGCTCCAGAACAGCTACTCATGGACCTTGATCAGATTGCTGTAGTGGTTCATATTATATTTCTTTATGTTTTTTTTGTTTGTTTGTTTTGTCAACAACACAGCATTTCATTTCATGTGAGTCGTGAGTCTTATTATCAAACTCACAAAGTTTATTTGGTTGTAAGTCTCAAACTTGATAACCTGTGACCCCTGATGACCTTTTATATACAGCTGCATGTAGACAGAATGGTAAAGAGTGAGTTTTACTTTTATTATTACTTTCAATATTGATGACTCCTCCTGATCCTTTAAGGCCCTAAACCTAGACTGAAAACCATGTGTGGTCATCTTTATTGAGTCTTTACAGTCTCTCGGCAACATATCGTGCGATCTGCATAATTAAATCAAGTAATTACTACGACTGAATCTGGGTTTTACCAGGATTATGATAGAGTTTCAATAAGATTTGTTGTCACTTAATGAAAGGAATCAACAATAGAAACTGCTGTTGGCATCACCTTAATCAAGGTGTCTGAGTGCTGACGGCTCTCTGAACGATGATCCGTTGATCCCGGTGAAAATGAGGGGATCACATCAACACTTCAAAGAAGGACTAACACCTTATTAAGAGATGAATGGAAAATCAATAAAATGCCAACATTATCAACTTCTTTCCTGTGATTAAAATAAAACATGATATGACATGATAAAGGAACAAAAAAGAGAATTTAGGTTGCCCCCTTTCAGATGTATAATTGACAAAACGTTTGGTGTATTCTTGGCCTTTTTGCCAGCATACCGTGTTCTTAGGTAAGAGTAGATATCATAAACGTGCATGTATGGAAACCTGTTTGATAAACAGTATCTTATTCCCGTTCTCAATCTTTCCACTTTCTCTGGAGAGAAAAACAAGCTTGAGGTTTGAAGGGCAGTTCTGAGAAGTCTGGCCATTTGGCGTCATGTTGAATAAACACAAAGGTGCTGGAGTTTTCTGAAGGGGAGGCTCAGGCCCCCACGCTGATCCTGTTTATGTGTTTGGGCCAGGTTTTGTTTTAAGTCAGAGGTGCTAAACACCTTCCCCCTGAGATAAAAGATGATTAATGCCTTTGAATGAGCGACGCTTTAATGGCTCAAGGCTACTTAAGCACTTCATTAGAGTGAGCTCAGGCCCGGTCGACACACTCGAGCCACTGGGTCCTCTCGCAGCAGAAACAGAAAAGCTGTAGAGATTTCCTTTGAAGTGGCCCCTGCTTGTAAGAACACAATCCCACAAGGCATTCAGCATGGAAATTTGATTAGCTCTCACTTTTTCTGGCTCCACACCACTCTGAGAACTTGTTTTCGGGCGACATTTGGGGCTGAAGCTTGATCCCATATAAATATCAGAGGCATCACTGAGCAGAGGGGCACTCAACATCTGGCAGCTGCAGGAGCAGATTCGGATTTAAGCCATGGATGTACCCTGGCCGTTCCTTCTCCTCCTGTGTGCCCTCCACCTGACCTGTAAGTACTGTTTGCTTTACTCTACTCTGCTACTACTGCTGTGACATTATAGAAGCAGCTATTAACTCGCCGGACTGACACCAGTCCGCTCAGATATATTTGCTAATCTGTTGCTATATTGGTAAACATGAGTAGTAGGACAGGGTGTGATGCTAGAAGATGTGTGCTCACTTGAGTTCCTGCAACTGCAATAGTAGAGTCAAATCACTTTAACTAAATGCTAACGTTTTTTTACTTGCAAATCCAAAATTAACATTTCCACTATAGTCATGCATTATTAAAAAATCATTTAACAAAGTCATTCCTGGAAAGCTATGGTTCTAAACATTCATATTCCGTAACTCTCTGGGCTTTAATAATGAACGCTTTTCATCTACAAAATGACCTTGAAGAAAACAGATTCCTGCTTAGTTGTCGTCTGTGTTTAATATATTGTAATTTAAATACTGATCTCATGGTTAATGTTTTTGCACTAAACTCTGTAATATAATTCCATGTCTAAGTCATTAATGTATGCTTATGCAATGTTTTCTAGTGACTGGAGTGTCGGGCAAACACACTGATCACAGAAACCTGTTCACCCAGAGAGTGTGCTGCAAGAGACAGAGCCACTTTGTGTACATTGGGCAAGGTAAAGCACTGCACTGCTCCTTTAAGTGAATGTATTGTCCCAACACGTTTGTCTCTGTGTCTTTTATAGAAATCAATAATGTCTTCTCATGTTTCATTGCTGAATTGCTGAGTAGTTTGAGAAAATCTAAACCTAAAGGAGATGTGTTCAGACTTGTAGGAATTACCAGCGCCTGTTGTTGCCGTTTGAATTCAAATCCATCTTGTCTCCTCATCCTGTCCTCAGACATATCTGGGAGTCCTGTCAGTGTGGATGTGGGAATCTGCAGGTCGCACTGTGGGGCAGCATCCAGGCCATCCCATGAGGCAGGGCAGCAGGAATACTCCAAACACTCCTCAATGCTGGAATTTCTCAGGAGCAAAAAAGTAAGTGAAGTTTCTCAACCTGGCCACAAGGGCGCGCTGTAACTTTGTGATTATCCGTTTAGGTTGATGTCCTGGCATAAAAGAAGTCAGTGTAAAAACATTAAAACAGATGCTTATTTAGCACAAAGTCAGTAGTTTATGTAATTTTGTAAGAAATATTAAAATATAGCCAATAATAAATATAGTTTTGTCAGATCAATAAATGCTGTTAGTGCATTTTTAAGTTAAATATCTATCAGAAATTAATTACACGTTTTAAACCAAATAAGTTAAGCGATCAGAAACACGTTTAGACATGTCTGACTCAAACTCGCCTCTCTGAAGACGAGGGCCCGGGGACCTGCTGCTCCAGAGAGCCCGGACACGCTGAACCAGCTGCCCTCCTGCGGGATGAACCAGGTGTGTGAGCCGACCGGGATGCGAGTGGACCGGGTGCTCCTGCTGCAGGGGCCCCGGGAGGTGGAGGTGATCGAGGAGTGCCACTGTGAGATCAAGCTGACCCAGTGCATCCGCGTCCCCGCACTGAAGACGTATTACTCCGAGACGCCATATGAGACGGTCATCGACGTGGGAGGATGCTCCCGGTCCAAGGGCTCTCCAGGTGTGTGTGTGTGTGTGTGTGTGTGTGTGTGTGTGTGTGTGTGTGTGTGTGTGTGTGTGTGTGTGTGTTTGTGTGTGTGTGTGTGTGTCGCAGATTTACCTGCCTAAAATAACAATAAACAAAACAGGAAGTGGTACTCACTTCAACAAACAGCAGATTATCAATTGTAAAATGATTCATTTAGAGAGGCAGTTTACATTATGTTTTCATATAAGACACTTATGAGTCATATTTTTTAAATAAATGGGGACAGGCTCCTCTAAACTATTTAAATTCTTTTTTTCTTTTTTTTTTTTGGAAAAGAGCAAATTGTATAGACTAACTTGATTATTTTTCTCTGCATTTATCTAAAAGTTTAGCATTTTATTTTAGTGTGTATCATCAAAACTAGCATGTTGAAAGGGCACAATGTGAATATCTGGAAAAATATTTAAAGTGCATATTTTTGTGGGTTCACTAAAAGATTTAAACAGTGAGCTACTTGGGGTATAGTAATATACACTGCAGGTCATGGTCTTCATCAAGTCATACTGATGAAGTCGAAGCTCTTATGTTTATGTTAAAAGCTTAATCTACAAATATAATTTGTATGAATGATGAAAAAGATATTTGATGTAAACACACCTTTACAAACAAACACACCTAAGTCATACAATTGTCTAGTGTATAGAAAGACTTGCCAATCAATTTAGGAGTAACTGAGGAGCTAATCCTGCGTTTTATATTTTGATGTTGGGACTTTCTGTTTGTTTAGATTTAGATCACAGATTATAATTGAGCCGTTCTTTCTGTCTATATAAATCGAATCTTTTGTAATAATTTTGCAGAGGGATTCTCCTGTGTCCCCACTAAGTTTGACTCAGCCTTGGTGGAAACCCCCAACAAAGTGGATCTCATCCAGACCGTAGTGGCCTGTGAGCTGAAGGAAAGCTGCTACAGGGTCCCGTATGTGGAGTACTACTATGAAATAGTCCACCACGCAGATGGAGTCAAAGAAGAGAGGCTCAAAGTGAGTGTAAACTCAGTAAACTAGCACTGAAACACAGACTCTTCCAGCTATGTTCATTTGATTAGCATGGCATACTTAACACCAGACAGTGATTCATTTGTGATGCCACTTTCACACTCTCTTTTGTAATCGAGTTGAGAGGAAACGGGTGCCTAGCTTGGTGCCAGACAGTAATGAAGTATCTTTATTCATCAGACATGTGTGGAAGACAACACTTAATCAGGCACCGGCCAGTGGCTGGCACCGCACGTCCTGGTGTGAAGGACTTCAGGATGTGTTGAATGCTTATTCATGCACAACCTGCAGCAATACACATGACAGACTGGCGGGTCTTTGAATTCGAATATAAACAGTAGGAATTTATGTCACTTCTCTTCCAAGGTGCATCAGAGATGGGAAAATAGGCTGCAGATATCAAAACTCCTCCAACACTTGTAGTATTAAGAACAACTTTATTGTGCAACCAACACATTTCAGCTTGTGAGGGTTCTTATAAAACCCTTTACAAAGAAGGGTTTTATTCTGATCACATTGCATTGAGTGCAAGCTTCATATTTGTTGCACTAGACCATTCAAAGGATTTAAATTTTTAATTTGAAGGAATTTCCTAGATACAGTACATTCTCATTATCACGGAAATAAGTAATTAGTTGTGATTTTATTTTCATTTTTTAAATAAATGGGCTGATAGACAGAATTTAAGTTGAATTCCGAGCCCCAGTTTTGGTCATCTGCTGTGTTTCAGCACCAAAGGTGTGAGCAGAGTGCAAACACAAATGGCCCCTGCAGGTGTCGAATCAAAGCAGTTTACATGCTAAACAGCAGCCGGCCCCCGGCTCAACCGGGTCAATATTTGCGACCAGCTGTGAGCTCATTGCCCTTTCTCTGTGTTGCTAATTTTCCACAGGAAATAGATGTGGGCAGATGTTTGGGAGGCTGCACTACAGGAAACCGATGCCTTCTCAGGTAAGTACGAACCACAGCTGCTACACCCACACACACACACACACCTCCTCGGCCACTCTCATTGCAATTGCCTGTGAGCGCTGACACCCTCTGAACTCAACATGTTGGCCTTTTTAGGTTAATTCCTCTGCCCAATGTCTCCTTTAAACCTTTTGCTTTCATTTGAGATCATAAAAGACTTACAATAAGATAACTGTCAGTTTAGAATAAGTCCACATAGGACTTTGATTTTCTGTCCTTAGGGGGGAAATGCTGCACAAACAAAAACAAAACAGTCTGTCTTCGTGTTTGATTAATGCATTTCTCAGTGGGATTCATGTTATCATTGAAATCTCTTGTGTATTGCACAGTGGTAATACATGTATACCAGCACTGACTGCCAGAATCATGATGCTTGCATACAAAGGTTGCACAGGAATCATCCCAGTTGAAACTGACAATAAAAATTAACAAAAAGAACTCACATACTTGTTGCTGTACTCGTTGCACAGTAACCATGACACTGACAAAGGCTATAGACAGAAACTGTAGTTTAACTGTTTGTTTGACATTTGCAGTAAACAACAATGTTTTGGGAGACACACAGCACATATATGTTTTTTTTGACGCACTGAACAAAGTTGCATTTTTTCATTTTCTGCTACAGGAGTCCAACTGATCCTGAAATGTGCCACTTGTGGGCTGAAACACAGTCCAGCTCCTGCGTTCCTCAAGGCTACGAGAGCCACAGCTTCCTCAACCAGCATGGGCAGTTACGCACCGTCCTCTCCATCACTTCCTGCTTTTGCAAAAACTGAACACTACTTCCAAGACTTGCAGGGGCTCCCAAACGTTGATCAAAAATGGCCGCAGCCCATTGAACCAAATACTATGTCATTCATTGCAGACTTTTCTACTCTAAAGTATTATTGTATTATATGTAATATATGTAAAAATGATAATTTTGTAAATAAATTTAATACCACATAATATATTATGAATTGTCACTGGAACACTGTGCAACACATTTTATCCAAACTGCAAATGAATGGCTCATGGCTCATGTTGGAAAGGTCTCACAGGTGGCTCGCATTACCAACAACACAGATGACACTTTACATTTCAGAGCAAATCAAATAGTGTGCCGCCCGCTGTTGATTGTATACATACTTGTAATTAGTATAAGTTGAAAAAAAAAGTATATAAACTTCTTGTTGCAGAAGTGCACAAGTGAATTTACATGAGAAACAACAGCAGCTATTGGTAGACCTGAAGGATAGTCTTTTAAACTTTAGACCACAATCCATAAATCAATGAAATTTGAAACTAATTTGAATAATTATCAGGGTCAAACGGCCAGAATTTAACTTTGAAGAAGCACTTGAAAAGGGCACATGAAAGGCCAACCAACTTTTTAAATGTCTCTTTGAAAAAACACACGTGCAAGTAGTTAATTGCTCCTTATTTTGATATGGAAGTGTGAAACAACACTTTTCTGTGACACTTTTCTGTCTCATCTAAATAGAAGAGGTTTTATGGCTTGCTCGTAAAGTGCCATGTAGAAAAAAAACTTTGATCTCTTAAATGTTTATTACAGTTGGGGAAAAACGTTTTTTCAGTCTCAATTTGTCTTTTGCTCGTGCGTAATTGTGCGTAAAGATCAAATGCACCAAATGGCACAGTGCGCAGTTTCTATGTTTCCTTGGAAAGAACCGAGTTGGCTTCGGTAAATAATTTTAAAAATAACCATAATGACAAAGCAACAAACATAAAGTTTAGTTTTAATGCTCAAGGATAATATAACTAATTATCTATTATAGATACAGAATATAATATAGACATTTCTATATCTGAAGTGGTAAAGGGCAAACGCTGAACCCTAATATAGTGTATCTAAATAGCTAGGGAATTAACACTGTAAACTATATTTAGAAAGACTTATGTCTTAGAAAATCGCCTTTTTATGGGGGAACAAGGAGAGATCACTGGATAAAGTCACAGAAACTTTTCAAGCACCACGCCAGCTTATGCCATGGAGGGACAGGGTGGGTCCAGTTGGGAGTCCTTTTAAAAAATAAAGCTGCAAATTTGGTGATTATCCAGCTGTAACTGGATAAGCAGTTATGTAAATCTCACGACGTGTAGCCTGCGACACCAGCCTCTTTGTCGAAATAATTGGTTTCCACCTAAGACACTGTGCCCATTATTCTAAATTAATGGATTCATTTGGGCGCAGTTAACCTCCCATGGTGAGTGCACTTCCTCGGGAGATCAGCTCCAATCTTATTCTGTTCATATGCTTTGCAGTCTTTCAACTTTAACGTTATAAATCAGAGAAAAATATATGTTCCACAGCAACATACTGTGCTGGTCGATGAGTATCGAGCTGTTTCAAAGGCTGAATGTAGTTTATTTGAGCCTTTATTGCCAGACGTGGAGACAATGGGCTTGAATAAAATCTACAATCGGGTTCACACCTTGTTAACACCGCCATTAGTCCCCCTTTACATTCCCTGATTGGTGATTTACATTTGCGACCAAATAGCATCTTTACTGCTGTTTACCAAGGCTTTGGGGGCACTGAAGAGTGAACGGCGGCTTTTGATATAAAAAGTGGAGCTTCGGGGATCCTGCAGTCAGTCCAACTCCAAGTTGCCGGCTGGTAGTGTGGTTCCAGGAGGACACCGACGCACCAGGAATATACCCACGCTGCAGAGATGTTGGTGTTCGTGTTCAGCTTCGCCACTTTGGTGTGCACGGTCGCTGCGCGGCCTTCGCTCAACTACCTGGAGAATCAGAATCATTTCGCCGCGGAGAACGAGTCGGAGGAGGTCCGCTCAGAGGCCATCAAGAGACTCCTGGAGGTTTTTGGGATGGAGGACCCCCCTGCAATCCATGGACACAAACAGGCACCGCAGTACATGCTTGATCTGTACAACACGGTTGCTGATGTAGATGGTGTGACCAAGGACCCATACCTTCTGGAGGGGAATACTGTGCGCAGTTTCTTTGACAAATGTAAGATCTGATTTGTGCACGCATGCGTTTGCAGCTGGCTACATGTAGAAGATGAAATATAATAGGAGTGTTTTGGTCTCTAATGATATAATTTTCCTTGCAGTGCGAAGTGAGCAGGTGGAGTTCAGGTTCAATCTGTCCACTGTTGCAAGAACTGAGAAGATCCTAACTGCAGAGCTCCATCTTTTCAAGCTGCGACCTCAGGCAACACTCACATTCAACAGACATCACTTCTGCCAAGTATGTACACCATGTAAAACGATCAAATCTGATCAGGGAAATGTTAAAGTGAAAGTACAATCTAATGCACCTCTCTCCCTGCGATGTTTCTAATATTGGCTACATGTTTCACTCAGGTCAGTGTTTATCAGCTGCTTGACACCACCAAAACCAACAATACACAGGAGAGGAAGCTGCTGTCTTCTCGACTCATCCCTGTCCACTCTACTGGTTGGGAGGTGTTCACAATCACACAAGCAGTGAGTATCCTCTTCTCATACAGTCCTATGAGTGCATTGACTGCTTGAAGCAAACACTGAACAGTATGGAGTGAATCCTGCGTTTTAACTGACCAATGTGAACTTCTACCTGAAGGTTCGCTCCTGGATGGTGGATGAAGGCAGCAACCTGGGTCTCCATGTGGTGGTCCGGACTCTGGGAGGAAGCCCGATGGATATGAAACTGATCCGCTTTGCTTCAGGACGCAACCACCACCAGAGCAAGCAGCCCATGTTGGTCCTCTTCACCGACGACGGCCGCCGCTCTACTACCCTGGAGAGCACAGGTGAGACTTGATTGATCAGGTTATGCCCAGTGTTAGGGAAAATAAACATCTCAGGGATTTTTGTGGTCCTGCCTCTGATAAACAGGGGTGTAGAGAAGAACTATGACGCCTAGGGAGAACTCTGCCCACCCCCCCACCCCTCCCACCCCCCCATTATCCTCTCATCACTGTTATTTTATCTGTGGCAATTTACATCGACAACTCAAACCTCTGTACGTTCTACACATTACAAATGTAATATTTCACCAAACAGTTATCACACACCCTTCTAAAGAAAAATGGGATGTTCAGCTCTAATTGGCCTCTTGTCTGTCATTAAAAATCGGCCTCTTGATTTTAGTTTTTTAATTATTCCACTAACGCCCCTTTTCCTATTAAGAGCAATGTGGGAAGAAATAGCACAAAATATCAATGGTACCTTTAAACGTGAACTCTTCAGTGGACCTGCTATGCCCACTTTATATTTTACCACTTCACCTAATGTGCAACAAAATGCAGTGATGTCTAACAAAAATCTCCCCTTTCCACCACCAGACCCAAACGATACCGCAGCCACTTCCAGCCTGCCCCATGCCCCCATGTCTGGTCCACCCTCCCGCAGCGCTCGTTCCCTGGACTACAGCGAGGAGGAAGGCGCGTCTATGCCCTGCCAACGCCTGCCTCTCTACGTCGACTTCGAGGAGATCGGCTGGTCAGGCTGGATCGTCTCTCCCAGGGGTTACAACGCTTACCACTGCAAAGGCTCCTGCCCCTTCCCCCTGGGTCAGAACATGAGGCCAACCAACCACGCCACCGTCCAGTCCATCATCAATGCCCTGAAGCTGATCAAAGGCATCGAGACGCCGTGCTGTGTGCCGGACAAGCTCTTCTCCATCAACTTGCTCTACTTTGATGATGATGAGAACGTGGTGCTGAAACAGTATAATGACATGGTGGCTGGAAGCTGTGGCTGCCACTGACATAGAGATATTCATTACAAATACAATGTATATTGGGTTTGGGGACATAGACAGCCAGCTGCCCTCTATAAGTCAATTGCACCTAATGAGTAATGTGCTGAGTCCCACATTGTAATATATGTAAATATCCATAAATTATAATATATGGCAGTGATGGAAGTGACATCCTGTGAAAGGTGTAAATGTGTATATTTTATGTTTTCTGTTGTGAATGAATATGCAGTCAGAATAAATGGCCTAAACAAAAGGTTACAGTGTGAATTTATTTGGAAAGCAGCTTTCACTCAAAAATGTAACATTATTAGCGCAAGATGTTTTGGATATCGAGGCTGATATTGGTAAAACATTTTGTGAAACTTGTGCCTCCATCAACTTGCAATCCTGCAAAAACAGGAATTAACCGAGCTTGCTAGACCAGTGTTGTTCAATCCCTGCAGTGTTTCTACAAAACATTTGGAAGAATACGTATAATCTTCTCCACTGACTACTTAAAGTTTCTATCTGCAATAATTCGATTCAGAAAAAAAATGTTACCTGCCCATTTCAAACAAAATCACGAATCTCAAAAATCTATGCTGCACTTATATTATCATTTACAAGGAACTTCACAACAACTTCATGTTGACATGAGCATACACACACAGGGTGTGTATTCCTTCCAAAACAGCATCACCAAAACAAATCACAATTACATTTATTCCTGCAGCCTGCAACTTTAAAATATCATGGCAGTTTCTCATAAAATGCTTCAAAAAGGGGCTTCTGGTGAAAACTTGCCTTTTGGGTTTTTGGGTACATTTGCATTTATTTGAATGTTGATTAATGGTAAATTCTCCCTTTTCTACATAAATACATTTAAAATAAATCAGAAAGCAGCTGCAAATTTTTCCTGAAAAAAATCTACAACTTGCAGATACTAAAGAGGAAAAAAAAAACAATGATTCAGTATTAGGGTTAGTTTTGTATCATAATGAGTTTTTAGGACTGTTGTTAACCTTGATTTCAACACTGATTTCATTTCATTAAAATTTATTCACCCAAAATCTGTGTGAAAATGTTCCTGAAATTGACTGGGTATATATTTACATTTTTTTTTTACTTTTACTGCAACATTTTTGATGAAGCCAGTTAAATCATATAGGGTATGGTATGAACAATTCATTTGTTTGTCCTTGTAGAATAGAAATGGTATATTTAGTTACTGTCTCCAGGGGTGCCACCATTAATTTTCCTGAACATTAATTGTGCTTAAATGAAAAAACTATATCTTGCTGCAGGAAGAACATGAAGCGAGGTTGCGTCTTGGTACCGCCTCTCAGTCAGAAGGTCTCTCTCTCTTTTCTTCTACCAAGCATTCTTCTGCAGGACCCTGCAGCTCATGTCTGGAGAGATGCTGCACTACACCCACACCGATACAGTCACCCAGCACATTGGTGGCCGTCCTCAACCGATCCCTGTCCACAATCATACAGGAAGTTATGAGGCCAGGAACCCGTGAGCAGGACTTTACATTATTTTCCGGTAATTTGTTTTATCCCTTTACCAAAATATCTAAGCAGTTGACTGAGGAATAATATATAAGCATGTCTGTCATATACAGTATAGCACAATACAGGCAGTGCATTTCTAAGACTCTATTTTTGTAGTCACATTGTCATGCTCACATAATCATGAGAGGTTAGTTCTCAAACCCTGATCACACACAAACAGAAAGACATACACTTACAACATCCAGTCAACTGCGATGATAAATGAAATGCCTTCAAGGGGCAGTCCAACTGATGTCAACACTATCGCCATGGAAACCATACCGCCCTGTGGGATACCTGTTGCCCCAATAGCTGCAACTGTGGCAGTTACACTGCAATTACATCATTAAGAATAATTAGATTACATAATTGTTTACGAGCAATAATGATCAAATGCATATACACAGGAAATATGTGATCAATTCAGCTGTTTCAAAATTTAAAAAAAAAAAGAAATATTATATTATTAATCAATATAATTTTCTATTATTACTGTTATTTGCAGTGATTAGAACCCGGCCTGAATTGAATTGAGATCATGAATGTTAGACACTTAGGTCCTTTAAAAGAAAGATGTGTTGAAAAGCCTTTAACAGCATAAAACATATTGAGTGTCTGACACTTGAATATTACATTTAGAACCTGTACTGTGAACTTATTTTCACCACCTTGGTTACGTTAATGTTGTGCAATTCATTAGGTACAATATTTTTTTGTTAAATCTAAAAATCAAAAGTCGAATTTAGTCAAATCAATTTATCAGCCATTTGTACATGTTTTGTAACTGACAGTATTTGTTATTGATTGATTAACCATTAGCTACATGTGCATGTTTTGAACATAATTCATTTTAAGTAGTAAAATTCCTCAAAAGATACTACAGTTTAGGTGAAGTGATAGAACCAGTTAAAAATATGCATTAGCTCATACCTGATGATGATGAGTTGACCCACATCAAGTTCCATATAATGAACCTGGGCTATGAATATAGCGGCTACTGCCTCATAGAGTGCGGTACCATCCATCGTCACGGCGGCCCCTACAGGCGCCATGAAGCGTGTCACCCGTTTGTCCATTTTGAGATTCTCCTCCAGACAGTGGATGGTGATGGGTAGAGTCGCAGAGCTATGAAAAAAAAATCCCCTTTATAAAATATACAATACATTTTTACTGGCGATCAAATCATTATTCAAAATTCAGCAGCATCTTAAATTTGGTAGACAAATCTTTTCTTGCAGGTGCTGGGCGTACAACAGCAGTGAAGCCTGGAAGTCCAACTCACCTGGATGAAGTCCCAAAGGCGGTGGTGAGAGCCTGGAGGAGACCAACCATAAACCTGAAGGGATTCTTGCGTGTGAAAATAAAATAGATGAGGGGCAGGGTGAAAAAGCTGTGAATTGCCAGGCCAGTGGTTACAGTGAGAATATACATGGCAAGCTGGCGTCCTATAACTCTAATGTCCTTCATCTTCAAAATCTCTCCTCCGACCAAGAAGAGGATTCCTGCTGGGGAATACCTGTGAGAGAGAGGAGAGATACAGCGAAGGTAATGTAGCATCAGCAGATGACTACAGGGAGCGACAGTCAGTGTATACTTTGAATCCTGATGCATTTTGACACTGTGTTGTGGCATTTCACAAATTTCAGGGATTGACTGGATGACTTAAATCACAATTAAAGGTAAAAATATCAAACTTTAAGATTCCATGATTGTTATAATCCACATCCTCATATTGTGCTTACCAGATGACAATACTGATCAAGTGCATGATTGCTTTATTAAGACAGTCAAAAACATCCCTCACAAGTTTCGCCTCACTCTCCATACTGCCCAGGATGAGGCCAAAGGCGATGCAGAAGACCAATAAACCCAAAATATTGACTCCTTCTACAGTGCCTGGCATTGGTACTGTGTCATCTAAAGGGGTTCAAGTAATGCTGTTACAAGTCATGATAATAACGACTCATGTTAAATAAAATGAATAATTGAGTGGTCACGATTACAAAGAAGGGTAAAAGAACTTTTATTGAACTCACTTGTCTGAGTCAGATTGACGACACCAAGACTTTTACTTTTAGAATAAACTGTTTTATACTGAATAAAAGGCAGAGAGAAAGAAAGAAAATGGTCAGTGTTGACATGTAGCATGATGAAAAAAAATACAACAAGAAAAAAACATGACCTCTGCAGAGCTCACCTTTCTGAAACAAGCTGTCACCAGGTTTGGAGGAAACATGTTTCTGCAAAGCAAAAAGAAAGAAAGAAAGTATTTAGCTTGGACTGGAAACTTCTATCTAACAACTCTTTGTAATGCACACCTGATCAGATCCAGAAAGGCATCCACAGTCTGCACAGCCTCCGCTTGGCCACCAGGGGACACTGAGACGTGACTGGGTGATTTCCCCGGGTGGATAAAAACAACTAGGAGGATGCCAGTCAACACAGCCATGAGGGTGGTCATTGTGTAATAGCAAAGAGCGTGGAGCCCCATTTTCCCATAAGCCTTCCCGTCCACAGATGACATGCCTGAAATGAAAAGAAGTCATAAGGAGCAGCGGTACATGTGGGCTGTTTAAATGTAATATCCGAGGACCTGTTATGGTAGTTTTGTTATGAAGTTGAAAACCTGTGATCAGACTGGAGATGATGAGAGGAAGCACCAACATCTGCAGCATTCTCATCAGCAGCTCTCCAGGAAAGGTAAGGTATTTAATTTCCCTCTCTGTAATGTTAGTGGATCGCAGAGCGAAACCCAGGCCGACCCCTGAAAGAAATAAAAAAAACACAGTACAGCATGTCAGTGTGTCCAAATGGCGACTTCATCCAGAAAAAAATACCAACTGTTGTAAAGCCAGTACATAAAAACATTGTTGAAAATTGTCACAATTGAGACAAGTATGGAAGAAATCAAGGGAGGTGAGAGACTGCAAAGACATGGACATTCAGTTCCAGGAGGACTCTTCTAAAGAAAATCCTGAAGCCCCTGCCAAGCTGCGAGAGGCCAGAAGAAACTGAAAACCGGCCTTTCTGAAAGAAGGCTATGCACTTGACCGTTGATTGATGCCTCCAGCTCTGGCTCTGTTTCATGTAGGCCATACTAGATGGAAGTTAAATTGATAGAACATAAAAAAAAAAGGTTTTAAGCCACATATTTGTTTCCAATTGTAAGGTTTGACCCAGAGGTGGAAGTCACTGATCCAAAAATCTTCATCCGGTGCTTTGTTTTTAATTGTGGTCACCAGTCAGGTGTAAAATGCAGTGGTGCGATGGTGAATGAAATAAATGTAACAAAAATGAAAAAAATACAAATAAATAAGTACATACAGTTCAAATTAGAGGGAGACTTATGGCATGGAAACAAAAAATGATTAACACTAGGTCCCAGACTGTGGGGGCTCTCACTCCTGCCGCCCTTCCAGACCCAAGCTGCAGTCTCGAGAGGCCAGCCTCTACACTGGCTTTATACCAGAAGCCCCTCCTACAAGGAAAACCACGGTTAATTGCAATCAATCAACCCATAAACACAATGTTTACATCAAAGTCATTTCTGTGCACATCACTCAACTTATCCTAACACAAAAATATCATGACTGCAAACTCGTTAGAGTAGGCCCTAAAAGAGCATGTCTGCAGAACTTAACAAAAACAACCCCCCTGCACTCGTTTACAGATGGTACATTCCCGGTCCCCTCCCTCTATTTAAGCCCTTGGATAATACCAATCTTGGTTTGACAGTTGGACCAGGAAACTGTGCGAGCAGCAGGTAACAGATCAGGTAACACAGACAAACACCTTGGTAACCCAATAATATTTCAATAAATGACCCGGGGACTTAAAGTGTTTGTTTCATGTTGGCATTTCTTCAACTGGTTGTGACTCCTGTCCTTCACCTTCTGCCCTGCACCAGGGAAGAAACATGCAAGTGAAATTGCCAGGAAGGTGATTTCAACATATCCTGTGTCATTCAGAGATGTTAAAGATCAAGTTGAAGGTAATGGTTATGACTCTTTCAGCGAACAGCAGCAGAGCTGAGCTGCATTCCTGATGAGAGGGAAACCTCTCTTTACCCAAGAAGACAGGCATCCAGAGCTAGTGAGGGAAAATACCTGCCTTCCGAGATGTTGAGACTGGATTTGACTGTGTAAATCGGCAACCGAAGCGGCTGCCTCTAGTTGAAGCCATCGAGACTCAGAAACGTACTCGAGAAGAATTAGAATGTGCACGAAAACAGCAGTGACACCAAAAGTATTGGAGAGAAAATGGGGGCAACTGACTAAATAATTATGATTATAAATAAACAATCTTCTCCAAATATTTTAGCATTTGATTATTTCAACAGTATTACAGTTTTGAAAAGATTGTTAAGTATATTTTTAACATCTGAGTGGAAAATCAAATTAAGGTAAAACTTGGATATGAATGTTAAAAGGACATTAATATTTTTTCCCAGCAGAACTGGGAGCAACTCTGGAAATCTTGCAGAGGTAAGACTTGAAGTGTAATTATTCAAAGTCAATACATTTTTTAAGTTTACTTCTGTCAAATCTCATACTACTCCGCAGCAGCACTACACCTGTGATCCATTCAACACTGAGATTAAAAGGCAGTGTTACTTTACAAAAGTTAAACCTCGACTGATATTAATACTAATATATAATATATATGATATATTTAATAAAATGACTTACCTATGACAATAGCAACCACAGTGAGAAGCACAAAAGCATTTCTCCAGAGAAAAGCTTTGACATTACATTTATTCTGGGGCAAAGGATCCAAACCCGAGGCCTCAGACGTCTCTGGGCATGTCTGGGTATCGTGGTCGTCTGTGCTGTCCACGGTTCTCAGCTTAGAGCAGTGAGGCATCTCTGTCACAGACTGCAGAAGAAAAGACAAGTAGAATATTCAAGTTCTCGACATATTTATCTATTACAAAACATATTTTGTAATAGAAGATACAATTTTCAAAGCAAGTCTTCAGAAATCAGTTTAAGATGTAATTAAAAAAGAGCACACGTAAATATCAAACAAATTACTTAAAAAAGAGTAATTCCCTTTTCATTTGCTATGAACTCCAGTAAAGAAATCATTGATTCAAACCTTTTAAAGAGCTGGACAGTTCCAGATATTTTCCTCTTGCCACTTCAACTAGTTTCGGTCGAAGTTCAAAAGTAATACTCTTTGTTTAACTAGGTTTCTGTTCCTCCCCATCCCACAGGCTATCAAGAGTTTTCTCATACATATATTTCTCATATCCCATACATCTTTGACTCAGCAACCACAACATGAAGCTCTGGATATTGGGTGTCAAAGAAAAAGCAACTATTACTCACATGATTTGCTTAAACTTGGAACTGGAAATAGCACCGCGGCAGAATAGTTCTCATCTGGCAAAGCAGCAATATTTCAGGACGTGTTGCAAGTCACATCCTGGTAAGAAAATTAATTCAGGAATATAAACCCCTCAGGCAGGAGGCAAACAAACAGAGAAGGTGCAAAGCAGGTGGAGGTGGCTAGAGGAGGAGGCTCTTGCAAAATAGCAGCAAAGCACACATTAGCAAAAAGACTGAATATATTATAAATATAAAAGTCTTTAAAAGGGACAACCACACTATTTCAGCAAGACCCCTTAAAATAATATCATTCCTACTTTGACGGTGTTTGCTGCAGGTCTGATGGTTCTGACTGAAGCTGCCTGCACAATTCACTGTCCAAACAATCCTGCTTCTAGTTTATAGATGTATAATATTTTCTGAAAGCTCACAATCAAAAGCTTGAGGTATTTTTTAGAAGTCAGAATATTCCACCCTATCACCAGACAAGAATGTCAGTGTTGTACGATTCTGCAAAATCCTAATAATGCTTGAGAATGTGGTTATGGCAAATAAAAAATTAAGGTTTTGTCAGTATCAAATGTGTTGCATGCCCATCCTCCATCTTGACCTCTTCACCTTTACCCTCCACCTCGCTGCATATAGGACACATTCCTCTCTGCACCGGCACTCAACACTGGTATTTGACATAAATCGTGAGATGAGGAAGTGTGGAATTATGAATTAAAGAATAGGAATCATAGGGTTGAGTAAAGGATTCAGTAAAAGCAAAACTTTCTTTGTTTCATTAAAACCACTGATTGTACTGCCTCATGTCTTTCTTGCCATTCATATTAAGTAGAATAGAGAGAGGTAAAGGAGGAATACATGCATGTGACTGCCACTGTACATATGCTATTATTAATTATAATCGCAGGACAAAAGGCAAACAGGTTATTTAGTGCCTAAAGTCATGTTTACCCCTCTAGTTTTGCAAAGTGAATACGTTTTTCAAATACAGTTTCAGGTGAGATATATAATACCTCACCTAAAACTGAACATGAAAATGTACTTCAATATTATAAATGTATATCCAATAATTAAGTTCTCTGCTATAAAAAAATAACCTTTTCTCCCATGAAAAACTCTTATTTGCTCAATACAAAACCCTGTCTCTAAAGAGTGTAACCTGAGCGCTGACTGAGGCGTTGGCCATAGAGTGGCACTAAAGGGGGTTGATACCACTTGGCATGATGCTGGACGACAGCCCTTGCTCATTGTCAGAGGGGCTGCTATTCACAATTGAGAAAACGATGAAATGCTGCCATTATAAAGGGGACCAAAGGGCCCTGTGGCAGCCCGACACCTGATCTCCTCTTTGGCTCTGGCTTCCTTTTGTCCCAGTATTTCATATCTGACATATCCACACACCCTAAAGCACTTGATGTTGGAGCAGCAATGGACCTGAGGCTTGGTGTCTGCGCGCTCAGACATGGGGAATAAACAGACCATCTTTACAGCACAGCAGCTAGATGCCTATCAGGTTGGTGTCAATCCTTTTTCTTTCTGAATGAGACCATTATCCTCCCTCCCTTTAAATGGGGCTTCTCTTATCGATACGAACAACTGGCATCTGTAAACAAGGTGAAATACACAAAAGAGATGACTATAACTCATTTGTTTATGGACAAAAACAGGATGCAGGTTTATGTGGTGCATCCTTCAGGGTGATGATGCACTAGGTCAAAGCTTCCCTGATGGTGTTTGTTGATTTCATATTTTGTTTGTTACATTCCCAAACAACCTTGCTGTTAATGGCATATTTTAATCAATTCAAAATTTTGAATGATGTAAAATGTATGCATATCAAACCAGGGGTGGAAGGTAATTAAGAATATTTACTCTACTTAGTTACCTTACTGCATCACTGTACTTAAGTACAATTTGATTTAAATTTGTATCTATATCTACTACACAACTTTTCAGCAAGATATGTACTTTTGATACTTTACGGACATTTTGTAGCCAAAGGTCTGTGCTGACCTAGTTTTACTTTACTATTAAAATTATACACGCAGGTCTGTTACTGGTGCTTGAGTATTTCTAATTCTGGTATTGATAAATGATGTGAATCCTTCTTCCTTCGCTGCATCACACAGATAATTAAGCACCACTCTATACAAGCACATCTACATAATGTTCTTCGCACTTTCCTGCCATGATCTGTTTGTATTTGCAGGACTGTACATACTTTACAAGAAAAGAAATTCTCAGGTGAGCATACGACTGTTTTGTTTACACTGATCAAAACAGAGCTACATCATATTATCCCTGAGTCACTGCTGGTGTAACAGACCTGACACACCTGAATTTTGTCCTGTTCTGCACAATACTACACTGTAACTCTAAACTACAGTATCAGGAGACCTGTCCTACTGTGGGGCAGGCTACCATTGAGATCACATGGGATTTCAAATCTTGCTATTGGAGAACACTTTCAAAACTTTACTGTTTGGAAATGTAGCTCATTTTTTCATGTCTTCAGTGCTTAGGAAAAAAAAAGACTGCAGCTGAACACTTTTCTCAACTACTACTTCACCTTTAAAAAATACACAACTACATAATATAGAAGATATCTTGTCATTCAATATTGAAATTATATATTTTTTTAACCTTTCCCAGACTGTTCTACCGCTATCGGGATTTGGCACCGCAGCTCGTTCCCCTTGACTACACCAACCACCCAGATGTGAAGTTACCATATGAGCTGATTGGCAGCATGCCAGAGCTGAAGGTAGACCCACTGGTCCACGCACACCCTGCAGACCCTCGCTCTCCCTGTGTTCCCAATCCATAATTAATGGCCAACTAATCGACAGAATTCTTTGAAAGGTTATCTGTTACCCGACTCCTTTAAACTTGAAGGATGCAGGTGGGTCCCTGAGGACTCACTTTTTGGAAATGGGTCAATTATATGGCTCTTTACACAATGACAGGAAGGTAAGAGGCAGTGCTGACACGCCGGTCACTGGTATGACCTGAGAAAGGGAGAGTGAGACTGTCAAGGTAAATTTTTCCCTCAGTCATCCTTCCAAACTGTGATACAAACTAAACATGAGATACACGCCAAAATAAAACGCACAATCTTGTAATAATAAATCAAACACAAAATGACTGGAAGCCATCAAATCCTTAACAAGTACTAGTTCTTGTCTCTGTATGATTAACTGCACTGAATTGCTCAGTGAAAGGTTGTCAGGCTGAAACAGGAGGCCTGGTGTCCCCTCTGTGCAGGACAACCCATTTCGTCAGAGGATCGCTGAGGTTTTCTCTGAGGACGGAGAGGGAAACATGACACTGGACGACTTCTTGGACATGTTTTCAGTCCTGAGTGAGATGGCTCCACGTGACCTCAAGGCCTACTACGCTTTCAAAATCTATGGTAAAAATATCTGAAGAAGTGGTACATTTTTATTTAACAATATTAATGAATTCCCATTTCTTATTTTGTTTTGTTGAGATTTACTTCTTCGATGCACGAGTCCAGTATGTAAATAAAACAATAATATTAATTGAAATTAACCACATATTTTCCTTTAAATACCTTTTTTTCTGATATTTTTAAATCTCAACATGCAGAAAGGTAGTGCAGCTGTAACCGTTCCGTTTGCCACAAACTGAGCTTGTATGTGTGAGAGTGCATTGTTATAACATCGAATAAGAAATATGGTACATGCTACACATGAAAAAATATTTTGTTTGCCAAAAAATCATTCACATACAAAGCAATGTCCAGTATGTTAACCAAAATGGTGACTTTACTAATGTTTGAGATCAATTAAAATCCAGAGAGGTCAAACTCCAGATAAACTCCTGTAGAGCTCGGGAGGGTAGTGCTGTGTTAAAAGTGCTGTCAACACTAATCACAGATTTAGACATGAAATTACCTTGTTTTTAACCAGATGGGGTCAAAGATAAGTAATACATCATTTCCTGCACAGGAATCAGTTCAAAATCACGTTTATAAGTAATCATCATAAAATTAGGAGAAGTCATGAAGTATCAGGTTGATGAAACAATGTTAGGTATGTTTTGAGCTGTTAATGAGGGTCTGGGGTCTCCAGGTCCCCAAACAGAAGGGTTAGGTGAGGGTGAGGGTTAACACATACAGCTACGGGCCCCAGGTTTGTGCAACAAAATCATTCAATCCCGGCTACAAATTTTAACTATGAACCACTGTAAATGAAACATGTGAATCATGCATTTTAATATGATGCAGCCATATGTTGACAGAGCATGCACGGTGAAGGGTTATGGACCTGTAAGCATGACGGATGGTGCACGGACTGTTATAAATGATTAAACAGCCGATTATAGAGGCAACAAGCTTGTCAAAGCCGAGCCCCCCTAATTAACAAACGATGACAGAAGTCACATACACATCGCCATGGTCATGGATCAAGGAAATTTTTCATTAATTATTCAGACCCATAGAGGAGAAACATCAAGGAAGGTGACATACTGTAAAAGCACAGTTGCATTATGATGAAGCATGAGCTCAGATGAGTGAAACGACCTCTCCAATGACCCAGTGGGAAAATGTCAACTCAACTTCTAAAGTGCGGTTACATTAAAAATGTAGTTTAAGAAGATGCTAAGTAGTAAGATGCAAATTTCATAACATTGAATACTGTTAAAATAATTATTGATATGTAACATTAATGAGAATTAATTCGGCATATATGACGGATGTCGCGCTGCAGCTAACTGTTTTCATAATCAATTAATCTGTCAATTAAGAACCTCAAATTGAACCAACTGTCCAAAGCCTAAAGATGTTTAGTTAAATATCATAAAGAAATCCATTTGAGAAGCCGAACCCAGTGCATTTTAGCCTTTTTTTCCCCTAAGAAAATAACTTAAACCTTTCATTGATTATCAGAATATTTGCTTGACCAATAGATTAATCCAAAAATCATTTCACATCTATATACATATATATCTCCCTCTCTCCTTCTTTCTGCAAGACTTCAACAATGATGACTTTATCTGCAAGTCAGACCTGGAGAAGACGCTGAACAAACTGACCCGCAACGAGCTGACGGAGGACGAGGTGAGGATGGTGTGTGAGAAGGTGATAGATGAGGCCGACCTGGACAACGATGGACGTCTGTCACTGGAGGACTTCCAGCACATGATTGTCCGAGCCCCAGACTTCCTCAGGTATTAAGCCAATGATAACCATGTACCAAAGGACATAATGACGAGAAAACCCACCTACATAAATACATAATACATTTATTCTGTATTTTGTTATGTACAAATGATTGTAATCTAATGAGCATTTAGCTACTTTATCAGTGACTGCTAATGAGGAAATCAAACCAGAACTTTCTCATTTCTGTTCACAGCACCTTCCACATAAGGATATAAGGAAATGACACATGTACATTTCTTATTTTGAAAAGCTCCAACAGATGGACTAATAATGCTCCACATTGTCTGGAAAGCAGAGAAATCCTGACATCTCTACCAAAAATTACTATAGCATCTTGTGAATGCCTACATTTTTACTTGTTTGTGTCCGTCTTGTAAAAAAGAAAAATCTAACCAAAAACACCCTCACAGACTTTCACATTTAACATCTAGAGCAAATACTATGAGAAAGTATGACTTTATGGGAGCATGAATGTGAACAGCTTGGATTGGTTTGCCACATCCGATTTTTCTTTTATTATGGAAGCTGCAGAAATAACAGCAGTCATGGTGTGACTGCGAGTCCCTCATCAGGTGGAGGCATCAGACAATCCATCAAGACAAGGCTCATTAGTTATGACCATCAACAGCAGATTTGTGTTTGGTATCTAAAGGGGTTCAGTTACACCAGACTATAAAAGAAACACATGCCAGAATATTCCAGTGGGTCACAGCAGGCCAATAAAGGGAGAGGCATTTGTCATGAAAGCAGGCAAGCTCCATTGTGAGAGCACAGGTTCAACAGACGGTGTCGTTTCCTCTGACAGCCGGCCAATAAAAACACTGAATTAAGACGAAGAAGCTGAGTTTTATCATCTTATTTTATTAAATCAAAAGTACACATATCTACAAATTGTAGATACATTTTCATATGGGTTTAGAAAGTACAGTACAATTTAAGTAGATCTCTTTTTCAATGTGATATTTACAATTTTTTTTTTTCACCTTTTTTTCTAAAATGTCTTGTATTATTTTCCCTGTGTACTTCACAATCAATGGAATGAAAATATGGCTGTAAAAAGGGATGTACAGTATATTATGACATGTGATAGGAGTCTTAAGAAAAAGATATGATTCAAAAACAAAATCAAAGAGGGAGTATCATTTTGGCTGAAAATGATTCAGCTTGAGTCCCACAAATGTCTGCTCCCTACGTCTCTGTTTTAAAGCTACAGTATCACTCATGTGAGACAACAGCACTATCTCCACATTTCGGCATCCAGACTCTTCCTACTTAACCTTCCATAATGTCAGATTTCACCCGCACTGATGTAGCCATCAAGTTTTCTACAAACAGAGCATGTCCTATTTTTTGGCTCAGTGACTGAAACAAAACAAAAATAAAAACAACAAAAAAAGCCCATACATTCAACTGTACAGGGCTACAAGTATGTCTGAAAATTACATTACACAAATATGCACAGGTCCAAGATTCACAATGCATAGCTCACCTATGACAGAACTGAGTATTAGCGGTTAAGACAAATGGTCATGGTAGTCATGAGGTCCCAAATTATTAAATTATCAAAAAAAGGTGCAGGCAAGCAAAGACAGATTCCCCCTCGATATTGTGCATACAGGAGCTTGATTTTCAGACTAGCAACAAATGTAGAAAGGAAACATGAGGAACAATGGAAATAGATCGAGACTCAACATCACGGTAAATACGAGTCGAGGGTACGTTTGCATCACACAAGTTTGTTCACTGTGACTCGAGATCTTAATAAAATACTGGTTCAGATTAGAGTTTGGGTGGTCACCTATGATGCATACTGTGCCTCTGGTGCCACCTAGTTGTCAAACTATAGGGCCACAGTGAAACACAAATGTGCAACAAAATGCACAATACTAATGAGACCACCTAAGTTTAAGTCAGTTTAGGTTTCATGTAAGCCAAGGAAATATCACTTTTAAACTACAGTTTGGCAGGGCAGTAGCATAGAAACAGAGGCTTACAAATTATATATGTATATGTATGTGTGTGTGTGTGTGTGTGTGTGTGTGTGTGTGTGTGTGTGTGTGTTGAAGTAGGTTAGGGCAATGTTTTTCAGTGAACTAATACCAGGACAGTGGATCACTAGCAGTGAAATAGCAAAAGAGATCAATTCATTTATAAGAAGGTGCAGTGAGATTCAGGAATTATGCCCACGATATTACCAAGACTCATTAGCTCAAAACTGTTTTTATCTAAGTAATTGTATTGCTGTACTGCAAAACTATCACTTGGCACAGACTACACACAAAACACGAGTTACTGGTAAAGTGCAAGGAGAGCTGCTTGGATAGCAGGGGGGAAAGGGCCTTACAGTGTGAAACCTCAAGTGATTTTAATTGCTGATCAAATAACCAGAGACGTCATTTAGCTTGAGTGAGAGTCAGAGCTGCTACAAAACCTTCACACAACTCAAATTAAAAGGCAACGCTTTAAAATAATGTTATTAAGAGCCCAAACGATTGATCAACTGAGAAAAAATAAATTAAAAATACTCCTCTGACAATTGATTAATTGTCTTAATTATCATTCTTTAAGCAAAAATACCAAACATTTGCTAGTTCTACTTCCTCAAATGTGAGGATTTGCTGCTTTTCTTTGTCCTTTGCAACAGTAAACTGAATGTTTTGGGGGTGTGGACCTTTGGCCTCTAGAAAACTTTCAGAGGATTTTTCACTATTCTGTGGACCAAACAATCAATTAATCAAAAAAAATAAGTGGTTGATCAATCAAAATTTGAAATAACAGTTTCCACCGTTATCTTATTAACTGTGGAGGATTAGTCTAATTATACAAGTACTTCCGAATATATTCATAAATAATGTACGTACAAACAGTGTAAGCACATTTGCACTCCCAATGCTTTGTTTTAGGTTAGTGCACCACCTGGATAGCTGGTTCTGTGTTGACAAACTGCTTTCAAGCACTTAAGAGCTTTTGCAGAGAGGCTGCAGAGTTGGAGGCAGTGTGTCGCATCAACTGACTGTCGAGAACCGCATGCAAACAAAAGAGCAAAATTCTAACAGAAAAACCTTCAAAACATTTTCTCCCTGATCCTTGACCGCATTTTGCTCGATATGGTTCTCAACTGCTGAAATGAAAAGAAAGCCTGTGCAGCTCTGTTTCAGTGGAGTTCAAGCCTATCAGTCTCTGGATGAGATTTATCACATAAAAAGGGAAAAAAGCACCAATAAAAATAGATCTAAATATCACATTTGTACTTATAATCCCAAAACCTTGACAGTAATTAAATGATTTCTCATTCTTGGTTGTGCTACCGGCTGTATGAAATATGAGCGTGTAGAACACAGAGACTAATATGGAAAGAAAGAGCCTGTTTTTTGTGTGATATGGAACACCTGGACAATGCTCCGGGTTAAGTCCTCCACCAGTCAAGTGGTCTGACTCATGAAGACAACAGATCTCCTTAAAAATGGAAGAGATGCACCACTGGAAGCTTTCAGAAGAGGAAGAGGAGGGGAAGTCCTCCACTTACTGGGACTATAATGGTTTGTGTGGACTGGGAGGACAGGCCATGGTTGGGTAGAAAGAGGGATAGGGGGGTAGTGCTAAGAGTAAGCACAGTCCATTTATGTCCAGCCAGCTGGCAGCCAGTGATGAAGGCCTCATTCCTTTAGAGTAAGCCACAGCGGAAGAAGCTGGTCTTTTTCTGAGGCTCTGAGATCTTGACTCCATGACTGCTCCCCTGCGGCGTGTTGCCCTCCTGCAGCAAAACAACAAACACACAGGTCACGGCTTGTCAAGTAGAACTATGTGGCTCAGCCACTGCTTTCTTACAATTCATCAGCTTTCTTTTCATATATCTTCGCTTATATTTTCCAAAGGCATTAAAAGTTTGGAATATAAAGAAAATCATACGATACAATATTTACGAGCTGCTGAAACATACTCATTAAAAGATATAATTTTTTCACAATATGAAATACTGAATTATCAAATAATTCATCTTACCAATTTTGTGTCCATTTTTGATTTGATGTCTCTGGCGAGTGTCAAAAATGCCTGCGAATCAGAACAAATATACACGTTGTCACATTTGTGATGTAACTTTTAAGCACATTGTAACTCAAGGGAGAATGGCTACTTACATTTTCCACATTGATGTTGGCCTTTGCACTGGTCTCCATGAACTTGATTCCATACTCTAATGCAAGCTGAAAGAAAATGGGAGGGAATTACAAAAGTCTGGTCATATGTTTTTTCGTGTTATACTGGTATCTTCTACCCAATTAAACTCAACAAACTTCTCACCTTCTCCCCTCTCTCTTTGGACACCTGCCGCTTGTCGTTGATGTCACACTTGTTGCCAAGGACCATCTTCTCAACATCAGATGATGCATGCTTGATTAAAAAGAAGAGCAATTTAATAGAGACAGCATGCTACATGGTGCCAATCAGATATTTGAAGAGGTAGTAAGCACATAAAAGGAGGTTATGTTTGGGCCAGTAAATACCTCCTCTATGTTCCTTATCCAGTTCTTGATATTATCAAAAGACTTCTCGTTGGTGATGTCGTAGACAAGCATGATGCCCTGTAAAGAACAGTAACACAAATGCGTTGAGATAAATTGAGCTCTGTTGCTTCCTCAGAAAGTGGATTTATGCTACATTTGTCTGTCTGTCCATAAAAGATACCCACCATTGCTCCCCTGTAGTAAGCTGTCGTGATTGTTCGGAAGCGCTCCTGGCCAGCGGTATCCCTGAGATAACACCACAATTGCAAAGTTTCAGGTATCATTAAGTTTGAGAACAACATCTCAAATGTGTGGACAAATCAAGGGGGAAGGTGTCAATCACTTCTGCACTGCACCTAAGTATGACAATAACTTATCAAGAGGTCTGGGGAGATTGGTTTATCTAACATTGGCTTTTTCAAACCCAACGGTATAGGAGGAAGCTATGAATATAAGAGTAAAGTGCAGGGGCTGCGATTAGATTGATGAATTTTATGAGCTTTAAACCTAGTATTTTGCCTTTGAAGACAGAATCTACACAGAGAGTGATAAAAAGGTCGTTAAAATTACAATTCAAAACTTGAACAACGATTTTAAAACAATTAACATATGACTTTTCAATAGGTAGAGAATTCATATTTTCAAGATTGCAAAAGGACATGTGGACGCGCTAGGCAATCTAATGTTGACTAAAATGCTAAAAAATTGACAAAACACTCCCACCATGTCACATGTCGAGCATCAGAGGAATTAACTCACCATATCTGTAACTTTATCTTCTTGCCGTCAAGCTCTATTGTCCTAATCTTGAAATCAATGCCTGGAGGGATAAAGACGGATGTCAATCATAACGTTAGCTCGCTAGCATGGTATAGCTGTCAAACATTGGCAGACACTGCTGTGACACAAAAAAATACGCTTAAGAACTGGGAATAAACTGAACTAGGAGCTTGGCCTCTTGTCACTGCAGGAATATGTGCAGAAAAGAATAACGGCGCTTTTATAATGCTTAAATTATTCATCTATTGCGTGCTATATAACAGGCTTTCCGGTGTGTGCCAGAATGTAGACGGGCCCTAATAGCTAACGTTAGAGCTATTTGTTAGCTTGCAGGAGAGCCACCCGGCATAAGAATATAACAAAACGAAACCATCTTTGCATTTACATTGACCTCATACGAAACACACAGCAAACAGTGTTAACCCTTGCCATCTCCCATTAACCAGTAAATTATACTGATAGCATGCAATTTAAAATAATAACATTCTTTATTAACCTAATGACAAAGAGCAACTACTTCCAGCAGAGCAAGCATTGCAGCAAGTAGACGGCGCCTCGGAGACAGACCATTGACGTATTGTAAACAGACAGAAAGACACATTTTACATCATCAAAACCTCACCAATAGTTGAGATAAACGTTGAGTTGAAGGCGTCCTCTGAAAACCTGAACAGGACACAGGTCTTCCCGACACCAGAGTCGCCGATTAACAGTAATTTAAACAAATAGTCGTATGTCTTCGCCATACTTGATATTATTGCGGAAATCCCGCCCGGCGAAGCAGCGATGTGAATGTATAGAAACGACGCCCCCTGCTGGCGCGGAATCCACCTGCTGTTTTATCTCTGACTGGGACCAGTGGGCGTTTTCTCAATAACCCCTGTAAACCAACCAACAATGAACTTACTACTAACAATGGTGCAAAGTTAAAAGCTGGTTTAGTCAATTAGCCCAAGTTACTACAATTTTGAAAGACTTGTATTTGAATATTTTAATTTTATGCCACTTTACTTGTACACTTGTACTATAGCTACTAGTATACAGTTATAATTAGTAGTTACTATGCAGCTTTCAATTCTTAACTAACGTATAAAATATGATGCATAATTATAAATTTACTACTTGACAGTACATGCATATACACTCATTTGGTGGTTTATTAGACCGGTACACATAGCTAAAACTTAAGCCACAAGACACAAGATTTCATAACATAAGGTCCAAAGCTTTCAACCACACTACATGGCATTCCTCAGCAGCTGTGGAGTTGCTCAGTTGTCATGGAGACGGTTAAGTTATTATGTAGTAACTATGGATTAGCAATTATTCACTCCTTGATTCCCTTTCCTGTGGGGTGCTCGTGTGTGAAGAAGAAACCAAAAATAAGAAAATCATGAATGTTGTAATCATAATTTCTCATTTAGCTAACATACACTTATAGTTGACAAAAAGTCTTAACTGATAGCCCACTTTCCGATAACAGTAATATTATGTGTCATTTGACTGCTGTCTTTAATACTGAGGATGAATTGTCACTTATATATGATTAACTGAAAAAACAGAAGTACTCTGTGGCATTACTGTTGCAGAAGAAAAGGGCCAGCAGCAATACAGTATCTCCAGCTCTGTGTTTGAGGGATTCACTGTCCTAGCAGAACATACGAAAAACACTGTGCGTGTCAGCACATGTAAATTACAGGGTGAGCTCTCTCTCCTCTTACAGTTTATGGCTATGTGTTGAAATTGCCTGAAGGACACACACAAACACATATGTAAAACTGGGAATACTCACACACAGACAGTCAACTCATAAAACTTCACTTCATCATCTCCAGCGTCATCATCAGTTTTATTTGTGCTCAGCGTTTGGTCTAACAAAATTTCTGGCAACGAAAACTGAAATCATATGGACCCAAAACCATTTTTAAAAAAGGAAAAGAAACAAAGGAAACATAAATATATAAAAAGGGGTACATGTGTTTTAAAACCAGGGATAAGAGTGAGATTACAGAGACTAGATGGCATGTAGAAAATATTTTTTATAAAACAATTTTTTTTTTTCAATTGTTTGATGTTCTTCTTGGCCTTTTACAAGCTATTTAGCTCCTGCAGTGTTTGGTCCAGGACTTGGTGCATTCCTAGGTTTTCCTCTTTTGCATGTGATAGGTTCTCTGCAATAAAAAAGCAGCAGCAGATATCAAATGTAATGGCTTTGTTAGTTACATCCATTATTAATAGAAGTACAAGATAGAAGGTAAGCTAATAAAATGTCCCTCATTTTAGCAAAGAAAAAGCAAAAGGAATATACTTGTGTACAATTTGTAAACCTACAAATTTGAGCCTTTTGTTGTGGCCAATTATTAAAGAAACCATGTACTGAAAAACTGTATAACTGACTGTATAGCTAAGGTACAAAGTGTAATAAGGAAATAAGGGAAATTCAAGCTGCAGAGTGGTAAAAAGCAAGCGTAATTGAAAAGACTGAAGACAGGATAAAATAGAAACATCTTTATTGAGCTTTACTTAAAAGCAGCGAGGAGGAGTGAGAGCAAAGGGAGAAGAGAAGAAACAAGGTGTTTCCAATCAGGCAAAGACACACAAAGGCAAAGTGAAAAGATCATGAGCTAACATTTACAAGGTGTTCATATCATTGAGGGCATGATCCAGCTCCTCACTGATAGCCTTGTATTTCAGCTTCTGAGTGTACAGTTCGTCTGCAGGTCAGGTGGCAGACAGAAAGCAGGTGGAGGAGGATCAGAGGAAAGTACAGAATGGTGCAGACCACAGGGGGAAATGAGGAGGAAGAAAAGGAAGAAAATTAAGAATAGTAAAGCTTTGAACAAAAGGTTGAGTAAAGAAACATTGCAGTTCATTGCAGGATTGAAAGAAGGATTAAAATGAAGCGTACCTTCTAAGTCATCTATGGTCTTTTCCAGCTTAGCCACTGTCCTCTCTGCGAACTCTGCACGGGTCTCCGCCTTTGAAGAAAAAAAAAAAAAACACACATTAATCATCCAGATACAGCTTAGCTTCGCTCTGAGAATATAGCTTCGGCAGACATGAACACACCTCCTTCAGTCTGTCATTCAGGACTTTGATCTCCTCCTCATATTTGTCCTCTTTCTCGGAGTACTGTGGAGACAGAGAAATCATTTTATTGCTACACAACAATAAATATAACAATGTTTTTTATTGGTTATTCCCTCTTTTCATGCCTAACATTTAGGTTGTATCAAGAACGTTACAGTTTGTAAACTCATTTTGGACAAGATGGAGAAGTACAGGCAGGAAAAGTGAGTGGCTTTTCTCTACTTTTATCAAATCCAGTGGAAGGGCTGAGCTGTTATCCTGTAAGTGTTAATGTGTGAAGCCGTTCGAGGGTCAAGCAAGAAGCTGATAGAGAGGAAAGTGCATCATCAAACAGAGCACTTACCTTATCAGACTGAGCCTCTAGCGACTTGAGGTTGTTGGTGACGTTCTTGAGCTCTTCCTCCAGGTCGCCGCATTTTCTGCATGAACAAAGCAAAACATTAAACGCAGTTTTTAGTACCTGTTCATGGGTTTGAATATGTCTGACGTGCATGTGGGTATTTGTGCTTACAGTTCTGCGATCTCTGCCCTCTCCTCTGCTCTCTCCAGCTCGCCTTCCAGGATCACCAGTTTACGGGCAACCTGACATTAAAGAGACGTGAAATCCCAGTTACAGCAAAGACAACGACGTTCATCACTCAACTGAAAACTGAACGCCAGCCAAAATGCGATCCCCGCGCCCGCACCTCCTCGTATTTGCGGTCGGCCTCCTCAGCGATGTGTTTGGCTTCTTTGAGTTGCATCTCCTGAATCTCCATCTTCTCCTCGTCTTTCATGGCTCTGTTCTCGATCACCTTCATGCCTCTAAAGATGAGAGAGACACACAGCGTTGAAGTTCAACAGGACCGCAAACGTTCTTGACATCACTGCAGCGATGTCAGACGTATCAGCTAAAGGTCAGTCCTAACATTGTGAAGATGCTTGAGAAACTTCCAACGTGTTTGTGGGTCATTTCTGTCATTTTCGTTCAGTTGTCCATGTGGTCCTGTGTTGTTTGTGGTTGCTGTTCAACATAAGCTTTGAATTTGTAATTTGTCATGGAAAAATAAATATTTTCAGAACCCAACAGCTCTGCAAAGGTCTCCATTATATCCAAAAAAAATACATCTGACTGCTTTATCAGTGGCCCAGGGTGAGGAAAGACATTTCCCTTTTGGTCTATACACATTTCAGTAATGCCTCTACATACAGGATCTTTAGCTCAAAAAAGTAACATGAGAAAACCTAACAGTGTACTAAATGTCTTTTAACACATACGTATCCAATGAGGCTACTACTTCCCTTTTCCCAGCCTATCAAAACACTGATTTTAGACAATCACACAGCACTTACACACACAGTGGGACCTTCTGAATTTAAGATGGATGCTGTAGTTTTTAAAAATGAAATATCTTTATGCACACTTTGCTGTGATCTCGCTGCCAGCTGTGTGAAGTCCAGTTAAACGGAACATCAGCATAGTACCAGCAATGTCTCTGATTGGTGGATCCTGATTTATGGCTTCCACAGGCACAAGGCCATCATATTCCACTCTTAAAGCTGATGGTAAGTCTACAATATGTGGTTAATACATTATAGCTAATACTGATTTTCATTATGGTGACAACGATCTTTTCGTTTGAACTCGCTCAACTGCTGCATACAGTAGCATGAACTCAGGTGAAGCCTGTGTTGTGTTGTCACCTTTCGCTCTCATCTGCAGCCTTCTCAGCCTCCTCCAGTTTCTGCAGGGCTGTGGCCAGTCTCTCCTGAGCACGGTCCAGCTCCTCCTCCACCAGCTGGATCCTGCGGTTCAAGGATGCCACATCGCCCTCAGCCTACAGCAACACACAAGAGGCACACAGAGAGGTCACAGGTCAAAGGTTAGCCAGGAAACACGCTGCTGCTGCTGCTGTTGCCTCATGAGGAAAGGCGCTGTTTAGGATGGCCAGAGACACACACTCAAAATTAGTTACATAACACAAAATCAGTGATTTTAAAAATGCTTCTTTGGCTCTTGGTTTTCAGTGCAAGGTCTCATTCATACTAGTTGTGGTTATGTGTATCAGTTTACTCATTTCCATATGATTTGTTTACTGACAGTTGTTTAATTACACCTATTCATTCTCTGGAATCTGTTACAATCCTCTCTGGTCATGTGTCTATTCCTGGTTTCTTTTTCCCTCCTGTGCACTCAGTCAGATTCCTTGAGCACAATTAATTATCACTCTTAACAACCATGGTGAGCTGTGGACTTTGCAGCTTGACCAGACACTGTGAAAACATGCTGATGTATGTAGGACAAGAGAGGGACAGTTTTAACCCTGACACTGACTGAAAAGTGGTGCAGCTGGACAGACTTTTGTAATGGAAACCAATTTAGTTTTTTGGGGGGTGGGGGTGCAACAGATTGCTTTTTCTCAGAAGGTTTCCTATGGGACTGATATCACAGATAAGCATTTCAGCCCTCTTCTTCCTGTGTAGTGGAGGAGCAGGAGGAAGGATTACAGCGCCCAGTTTCATTTAGGTGTCACTACGTCAAAAAAGCTCAAAGTGCGAGAACAGGAACAAACCACTTTCCAAAGTGTCTTAAACTGTAATTGGGAGAAGAAAAAAAAATCCACGATTATAAAATGTCAGAAACCTACCATCAATTAATATTTAAATAATCACGCTGATTGGTTAAAGTGATGGTGGTTGAGCTCGCAGCATTTCTCAGTGTT